GCATCCACAACTCAATCTACTGCAACAACACTCGCAATTTTCCCCTTGATTTCGACCAAGTCTCACATTGCATCCATCAGAACATCCAGCATTATTTTATCTGGATCAAAAACAGCTCCTCCCACACCAACCATCAAAACGTCCACTGTTTCTAATTCAGCAACCACACATTCTACATCAAACAACAATACATCCATGGTTTCTGATTCAATAACCACAAAACCTTCCACACCAACCATCAAAACGTCCACTGTTTCTAATTCAACAACTTCACCTTCCATATCAAACAACAATACATCCACTGTTTCTAATTCAGCAACCACACCTTCCACATCAAACAACAATACATCCTCGGTTTCTGATTCAATAACCATAAACCTTAAACACTAACCATCAAAACGTCCACTGTTTCTAATTCAACAACTTCACCTTCCATATCAAACAACAATACATCCACTGTTTCTAATTCAGCAACCACACCTTCCACATCAAACAACAATACATCCACGGTTTCTGATTCAATAACCACAAAACCTTCCACACCAACCATCAAAACGTCCACTGTTTCTATTTCAACAACTTCACCTTCCACATCAAACAACAATACATCTACGGTTTCTGATTCAATAACCACAAAACCTTCAAAACCAACCATAAAAAAGTCCACTGTTTCTGAATTAACAACTACAAAACCTTCCACATTAACCATCAAAACGTCCAATGTTTCTGATTCAACAACAGCATCTTCCACATCAACCATCAATACATCCACTGTTTCTGATGCAACAAACACAGAATATTCCACATCAACCATGAATACATCCACTGTTTCTAATTCAGCAACCACACCTTCCACATCAAACAACAATACATCCACGGTTTCTGATTCATTAACCACAAATTCTTCTACACCAACCACCAAAAGTTCCACTGTTTCTAATTCAACAACTTCACCTTCCACATCAAACAACAATACATCCACTGTTTCTAATTCAGCAACCACACCTTCCACATCAAACAACAATACATCCACGGTTTCTGATTCAATAACCACAAAACCTTCCACACCAACCATAAAAAAGTCCACTGTTTCTGAATTAACAACTACAAAACCTTCCACATCAGCCATCAATACATCCACTGTTAAGACGTCCACTCTTATTGAATCAAAAACAGCACTTTCCACATCAACCATCAATACAACCACCGCACCTCCCACAACATTCAAGTACTTCACTGAAACTTCCACAACACCTGCCAATACATATTTTGTCCTAGGTAAGTTATTAAGATCACAATTTGCTTTTTTGATTGATTATATTCTTTTCATTTATACCATTGGATACATTGTTGCTTACCTTTTAGCAGTGACTGATACTAACAAATATAAGTGTGTTACTTATGTTATTGTTAAAATATAAAAGTTTATATGTAGGCTCAAGTTTGTATTCATGAAAACATATTCATACAGGACAAAACATGTCTATAAAACAAAGCTGAAACGTAACAGAATTGACAGAAAATAAATATTGTATTTAATATCCATTGTATGTGGTGTTCATTGTCTTCCATTCAGAGTCTCTTCCAGGCATCTCTTCGGGGCGGCAAAGCCCCCCCCCCCGAAATTTTTTTACCGCCCCCCCCCCCCCCCCCCGAACGAAATGAAATGTATATAATTTATATAGAAAATATATACTTTTAACAGTGTCCGCCCCCCCCCCGAAGAAAGTTTACCGCCCCCCCCCCCCCCCCGAAAATTTCAAGTGCCCCCCCCCCCCGGAGAAAAAATTCTGGAAGAAACACTGCTTCCATTACATGGGCAATGTTAGGGTTGATTTTAAAACATATCAGACAATATGAATCTACTCCTGTAAGAGTTCATATTGCATTAATTTAATGAGAATATCATGCAATTAAAAGTTCAGGATGCGAGAGATAAATTGCCATTTTGTAGGATAGCGTATTTTTACTGCAAAAATTATTTCCGTCTTTCAATTACTAGTCCAGCAATGATTCGCCTTGCAAGATTGTCTTCTTTAACATCATCTAGTATAACATTATCTTTTCCAGCTGCATCTTGTATATCGCTACATGCACTTTTACAATATAATTTCCTATAACTATATATATATATATATATGCGTGCACTAACGTTTAACGTTGCTTTCCAGGTACAACAAAAACAGTTTTAATTGTCATCTTTTGCCTCATTGCAAATTGTTTGATTATTTACTTACTGTGTTGGTAGGTTTTAATGTTTGTTAAACTTTTTAAAATCTCACACACCTTAAGCATTCGTAATCAGTTACATTTTTTTAAAATCTATCTATCTATCTATATATATAATTCTCTCCTGTGAGCCGTTAGAAAACAAGCTGCAAGCGCCTCCTTGCAGTCCCCTCTCTTTCTCTCTATCACTATCACTACCACCCCACCCCACACATTTTCTGGTGAGCTGTGGTCACGCTTTTTGTTTACAAAGCTAAATGTTTACAAATCGTAGAGCCGTAGAGACGGGTTTCTATTAGGCCTTAGGGGCAGATAATTTAGTTCGATTTTAAACTTACAGGAGGTAACTAAGAAATAACTAAGAGGAGGCTGCTTTCACGGGGGGGGGGGGGGGGTGTAGGGTCGGGGTTAGGGGAAAGGGGGGGGGGTTAGTGTTTTAAAGCAAATATTTTCAGCGGCAGCATTGGTACTGTCGAATTCACAAATTATTAATTACTGAAAAGTAGAAAATAAAACAACTAAATAGCGGCGTATGATACGCTGCGGGTCGGCTCGTATATATAATTCTCTTCTGGGAGACGCTAGAAAACAAGCTGTAAATTCGCTCCCTACCACCCCCACCCCTACATGGTCTTAGTGAGCTGTGTTCACTCTAAATGTTTACAAGCAGAGCCGGGTTTAGTGACGACTATTAGGGGCAGATAATTTAGTTTGAAACGATTTTAAACGTAGGGGGGAGGGGGGGGAAGGAAGGGGGGAGGAAGGGGGGGTTATGGTCCTTAACATGCTACTTATAGTGTTTTAAAGAAATATTTTCAGTGGCAGCGTTGGTACCGTCGAATTCACAAATTATGAATTACTGAAAAGTAGAAAAAAAAAACAACTAAATAGTGGCGTATGTTATGCCGCGGGCCGGCTTGTACTAAATAAAGAGGAAGGGAGTTCCAATGACGTTTCTTTTATATTCTTATAGAGCAGTAACGGTTTTGAAGGCGTTTTCTGAAATATAGATTTTTGTTAGGAAAAAAAAACCTCTTTGTTGGAGAAAACAAATAAAGACGAAATATTCTTAGAACATGAGAACTTAATTATCGCATTTATGAGTATTTTGAAAAATCGAAATTAAAGTAACCTTTCCGTTTAACACAAATCTCTCAAAAGAGGACATAAATCTACGTTCAGCAGTTAATACCTAGTCTATATATTAAATTCCGTCCACTTTAGTCAGTTTTGATGCCATTGAACTAACGTAATAATTTTTCTCTTCATCAGTTGTCGAGTCAAGTGTTTGTTTCTTCCCGGCTCTAGGGAACGATCTGACAGTTCTAATGCTAGTGAGACAGGTGTAGCAAGAATAGAAATGGAAACACATATTTAAAGCTGAACAATTTATAGAAAGCTGTTTAAATAAAAGCAAAACTAACCAAAATTATTATAAGAAAATATGGATCAAGCCTAAATGAAATTTTAAATGTGTTATTAATTCGTTACAAATATATATAGGCACAAATACAACAGACCCGAGAATGTGTTAACAATTTGAGCGTATTTGTAGTATAGTAAATTCTACATCTACATTTGTATATCGTCAGTCAAATTGATGGTCATTTGCCTAATATTATGACATATGTCTTATTAGGCAGTTTAAAATTGAAATTGGGACATTTGTTCAATTTATTTTGAAATTGTTTGATTTGTTTTCGGAAAAATCTTTTTTGATATAAATACAGTTAGTGCATAATTTAGAACCTGATCAAATAAAATTACCTTTTCATCTTTTATTTGTGTATTTCGCACACACTCACTCACACACACACACACACACACACACACACACACACACATATATATATATATATATATATATATATATATATATATATATATATATATATATATATATATATATATATATATATATATATATATATATATATAATATGATGTAGGCCTACTTTAGTAAGAAATAACTACCACTAGTAGTCACCAACCAGGCGGTCTTAGGTGCTTTGACCATAGGTGCTTAGACCATAGAGGGTTTGACCATAGGGAGTTTGACCACAGAGGGGCTTTGAACATAGGGGATTTGGCCACAGCGGCCAACAGTATTTGTTGTTTAAGTGTTGGATTTTTAAACTAAAAATTATAAAAAATAATTGTAAACATTTTGAAATTTAGATTACAATTTAAAAAAAAAACAATAGCAACTATTGTAAAAACAAGGAAAACATTAATGTTATAAAGCTTGTTCGCTTTTTAAATATCACATTTTGCATCATGTTATAATATTACTAAAAGCATTAATTAAAATAAGTGACTTGATAAGTTAAAAATGTACAAAATTTGAAAGAAAAAAATCTATAGCGGTTCAATTATGCTAAAGATAGAAAATGAACTACTAGAAAAAAAAAGATTAGTAGGGGCCTATCTGATATTTTTTGTGTCGTTTTTATTTAATTTATATTCCTATGTGTACTTGTGTCTTTGCTTGAACTTATGTTTGCGCGTGTGTATTTAATACTGCAATTGGTAAATAAGATTTTTAAATTTCTATTCAAATATTGGTTTTAATCAATAATAGATTTCAATTTTGCGACTTTATAGGCGAATCGAAGATGAATGTTCATTTTGAAATGCTGCATGATTTCTGAAACTCTGTTACCTACAAGATTGTACAATAAAATTGTTTTAAAAAAAATTAAACTTTTAAAATACAGCATAATTATGCGAACATTTAGAATACAGAAAAGTTAACTAGTCACTAAAGAATTCGACACAAATATTAAAATTAAAGTATTTTATAAAAACAAACTCATGCAAAACAAAAATATTTAATGCATCAGACACACTGATTCAAACAAACCACGGTTGATGCATGTTTTTTTTAATTTAAAAATTTATTGATAACCATAAAAGGCATAATCAGCCGGAAAATTTGAAGCATAAACTGTGTTATTTACAAAGTATAAAACATAATAAAAGCCAGCGGTTTTTTTTTTTTTTAATACCGTACTTTATGGTTAGAAAATTTTAGTATAGTAACTTATTATTTTAGATAATTTTTTTTTGTATTTATTGTTGATAAAGTGTTTAATTATTTTTAAAAGTGAAGCCAATCATCGCAAGTGCGATTATAACAATTAACATATAAAGTAAGAATTAACTATAGTTTAAATTCAGGCGGCGCTATTCTTCCCACAGCTTTCATTGTTTCTTAGAACTTGACTAAAACATACGTGTAGCTAGACCAATGGCAAATACAGCTCCCATGTGTACAGACATTGAATCTGTTTTAGACATAAATAAAATAAGTGTCAATACAAATTTTTGATGTTCTTGGTGATGTCACTTGTCAAAAATAGATTACTGTTATGTACGAAAGCCTGGATCTTTAGGTTTGAACGCGGAGCTTTACTAAGCATTAATAATATCATTTTAATTGCACATCTTGAATTTTAAATTAAAATTATACACGTATTGTTATGGCTAGTGGAAGGCACACACAATTTTTTACTGGCTCGTGTATACTGGCTCGTGTATACTGGCTCGTGTATACAAACCAGTGGCGTAGCCAGGATCGTCTCATAGGGGAGGTGTTCAAATTTGTTCTAGCATTATATATATATATATATATATATATATATATATATATATATATATATATATATATATATATATATATATATATATATATATATATATATATATATATATATATATACTAGCTGTATGTCATTGCTTCGCTATGATGTAAAATAAATTGAAAGTAGTACTCTGAAGAAATAAGAATAAAAAACACAATGTAGGCCGTCAAAACAAAACAATTTATCACTCTAAACAAAACAAAACAATATATATATATACACAATACAACCAAAAACAACTTACGCAACATAATCTGTTTTGTAATCCATGTAAAAAAAACAATTTGACATAATGATTCCTAGAATATTAATAAAGACAAGCGAACTAGGGGAAATAATAACTCTCTTAAATATGTATATTTCTACAAATGTAATAGTAAATGTCAAAACAGATCAATAATTACTTAAGTATGTAATATAGTAGCTTTACAGTAGGCTATTCGTTTTTACAAAAAAAAATGTTGTCTACAATGAGAATTAAACATATTGTTATCATAAAGGCTAAAATATTACAGCGTAATGAAAGTTTTTGAAATCACAGTTTTTATAAAATCAAACTTTTCTATCTCTAAAAAAACTAAATCTAATAGGTAGAATATATAATAGTTAACGTAAAACTAAATTATTGGTCTTGTAGTTCCGATCACTCATTTTTATAATTAGCTACTGTATGTTGTGTTCTTTAAAGATCATTTTTAACATGATGATATGGTATGGGTTAGATTACTGTATTGATCACACACCTCTTTAATGGTAATTGCAAAAACAATATTTACAGAGTTTTATCTGTTTTAAAAGCTATGATTCTTGAGGCATGGTACTTTGGTACCTCATTACGCGATTTCCCAAATGTACTTAACAGATCAGTTCGGGTGGGCTTGGGGGGGGGGTGAACTTCAATCACCACTGTCCAGCCACTTTAGGTGAATTAACCTAACCAGCGTATACCTAGGTGTGACATTAATGTCGCTCTACACAATTGTGGTGGTGAGGTGGGGGGGGGGGGGGAATAACCTACTTAGAGTTATTATTGGTATTATGACAGTAAACATTTTTTACAGAGGGGTCCATGATGTGTGTGTGTGGGGGGGGGGTTTAACCCCCTAACCCCCACCCACCTGCCTACGCCACTGATACAAACAGTAATAGACTATCAGTTCTAGGTTGCTAGAGTTCATAGCAATATTTATTCTTATTAAAATAATAGAAAAATGAACAAGCTAAAAGGTATTACCTGCACGTAGGAGAGGGTTACCGTTTTTCGATGAAAAATGGCTATTCGGATCGAGGCTATCATAATAAGTAGGATTCCAGTCAGCTGTCAATATATATATATATATATATATATATATATATATATATATATATATATATATATATATATATATATATATATATATATATATATATATATAGATATATATATATATATATATATATATATATATATATATATATATATATATATATATATATATATATATATATATATATAGATATATATATATATATATAGATATATATATATATATATATAGATATATATATATAAATAAATAAATAAATAAATAAATATATATATATATATATATATATATATATATATATATATATATATATATATATATATATATATATATATATAATGTGTTTGTATGTGTATATATGTATGTATATACAATGTTTAAGCAAAATCTTTAATACAACCGTCACAGATTAACAAATACAAAATGATGAGATTTGTTACAACTATTTTAACCCCAGAGTTTATTTTAATCAAGGCGAAAGTGGGTTTCTATTTAATCAAGGCGAAAGTGGGTTTTTGTTCAATCAAGGCGAAAGTGGGTTTCTATTCAATCATGGCGAAAGTTAGTTTCTGTTCAATCAAGGCGAAAGTGGGTTTCTATTCAATCATGGCGAAAAGTGTGTTTTTGTTCAATCAAGGCGAAAGTGGGTTTCTATTCAATCATGGCGAAAGTTAGTTTGTGTTCAATCAAGGCGAAATTGGGTTTCTATTCAATCATGGCGAAAGTGGGTTTCTATTCAATAAAGGCGAAAGTGGGTTTCTATTTTATCATGGCGAAAGTTAGTTTCTGTTCAATCAAGGCGAAAAAGGGTTTCTATTCAATCATGGCGAAAGTGGGTTTCTGTTCAATCAAGGCGAAAGTGGGTTTCTATTCAATCGTGGCGAAAGTGTGTTTTTGTCCAATCAAGGCGAAAGTGTGTTTCTATTCAATCATGGCGAAAGTGGGTTTCTGTTCAATCAAGGCAAAAGTGGGTTTCTATTCAATCATGGCGAAAAAGGGTTACTATTCAATCAAGGCGAAAGTGGGTTTCTATTCAATCATGGCGAAAGTGTGTTTTTGTTCAATCAAGGCAAAAGTGGGTTTCTTCTCAATTATGTCGAAAGTGGGTTTCTGTTCCATTAAAGGCGAAAGTGGGTTTCTATTCAATCATGGAGAAAGTTTGTTTCTGTTCAATCAAGGCGAAAGTGGGTTTCTATTCAATAATGGCGAAAGTGGGTTTCTGTTCAAGCAAGGCGAAAGTGGTTTTCTATTCAATCATGGCGAAAGTGGGTTTCTATGTAATCAAGGCGAAAGTGGGTTTCTATTCAATCATTGCGAAAGTGGGTTTCTGTTCAATCAAGGTGAAAGTGGGATTGTATTCAATCATGGCGAAAGTGGGTTTCTGTTCAATTAAGGCGAAAGTGGGTTTCCATTCAAACATGGCAAAAGTGGGTTTTTGTTCCATTAAAGGCGAAAGTGGGTTTCTATTCAATCATGGCAAAAGTGGGTTTCTATTCAATCATGGCAAAAGTGGGTTTCTGTTCAATCAAGGCGAAAGTGGGTTTCTGTTCTATGAAGGCGAAAGTAGGTTTCTATTCAATCATGGCGAAAGTGGGTTTCTGTTCAATCAAGGCGAAAGTGGGTTTCCATTCAATCTAGGCGAAAGTGGGTTTCTGTTCAATCAAGGCGAAAGTGGGTTTCTATTCAATCATGGCGAAAGTGTGTTTCTGTTCATTCAAGGCGAAAGTGGGTTTCTATTCAATCGTTTAGTTATTTTATCGATAAGCAAAATCTTTGCTTTTAAACTATTTTTTATTTCTTGTTAAAGCATGCATGCATGATATTAATCCGTATTTAGGGATTAGGGAGAGTGTTAGGGAGAGTGTTAGGGAGAGTGTTAGGGATAGGAATAGGGATACATTTAATTCAAAAGGCAAGTCAGGGGCGTATACGGGTTTTTGGTTTAGGGGAGTCAAGCAAAAGCACTCTATCAGTGCTTTGCTATGGTCTAAAAAATTTAAGTGGTACTCTTTGAATAATAGAAAATAAGAAAACACAAATAATAAAGAACATTAAACGATACATCAGTCTATACAAAGTACAACACTAGACACACGAAACACAACACACAAAAAAAATAAACACCAAAAAGCAAACACAACCTGCCCTGTAATCTTCGTTAAAATATATGTACCTGCATATACTAATTATTACAATTTAATATTGATATGATTTTAAGAAAAGCTAATTGTTTTTGAAATTATCACTGTTTTATACAGATCTATGTAAAAATATAATTTTATCTTTCAAATTCTATTACATTAATAATTGGTTACCAAATATATTATAAAATAGTGTCTGCAATTACATTTTACACATTGTTCAATCAAAAACCAAAATATTATTTATTATTTACTAAATGCTAAAATATCAAAGCAATGTAGACATATGCATTGGTATAAAAATCCTTTGTATATATTTTAGGATGTATCGTTGTTCTAATTGGCTGAATGCATATTTGAAAATAAAGGAATAAATACAAGTCTCACTGCATACTTCTTATTTAAATTTTAAACGTGATCTTGTCTATCAGAACAGTATCGCATTTAACGTAGGAGTTTTAACTTTTGCATTCTTTGGAGATTGGGGTCTAACTACATAAGAGCTAAATCATTACGTTGTTTTCGCACCTCTTTATAATACTGACGGCTGCAAAAACAAATTTCAGAGTATCACCAACTCCAATGGTTTTGGTTTCTGATTGTAAAAATATTTTTTAGTTAGTTTTCACATTTTCCCCCCAATTTACTCTACTGTTTTAACTAAATCTACCCCATGTATTTTTATCTGAGATCACCTCTCCTCTTACTAACCACCTTTCATCCTCCAACAACAATAGTTTTAAATAAAGTGAATTGGGATTTACCTGGGCGACTCTTGAGGTCATAGACGTTGCTTAACGCAATTATTTCATCCGGTTTGTAATAGCCTTCGGCTAAAAAAGCCAAACGAAAGAAATAATTCCGTAGCCAGTCTTTGATAAAAGGATTCACCACAATGGTGTATGGAGAACCTTTCTTGCAATTACAGTAATATCCGTTGGGACAGAACTCTTCTCTCGGACAGACAGACCACATATTACACATCTGAAAGAGATGTGTTTGTCACTAAATACGTATTGCACATCTTTGCTATACCTTAAAGGAATAAGCAACATCACTACTCACATTTCGTGTTCAAAAAACTGATACACGTTCAAAATAGATAAAACAACTTGTATGTGATGGCTTCATGGGATCTCAAAATAAAATAACACAACTTGTCAGTGATGGTTTCATGGGATCTCAAAATAAAATAACACAACTTGTCAGTGATGGTTTCATGGGATCTCAAAATAAAATATCACAACTTGTCAGTGATGGTTTCATGGGATCTCAAAATAAAATAACACAACTTGTCAGTGATGGTTTCATGGGATCTCAAAATAAAATATCACAACTTGTCAGTGATGGTTTCATGGGATCTCAAAATAAAATAACACAACTTGTCAGTGATGGTTTCATGGGATCTCAAAATAAAATAACACAACTTGTCAGTGATGGTTTCATGGGATCTCAAAATAAAATAAAACAACTTGTATGTGATGGCTTCATGGGATCTCAAAATAAAATAACACAACTTGTCAGTGATGGTTTCATGGGATCTCAAAATAAAATAACACAACTTGTCAGTGATGGTTTCATGGGATCTCAAAATAAAATAACACAACTTGTCAGTGATGGTTTCATGGGATCTCAAAATAAAATATCACAACTTGTCAGTGATGGTTTCATGGGATCTCAAAATAAAATAACACAACTTGTCAGTGATGGTTTCATGGGATCTCAAAATAAAATAACACAACTTGTCAGTGATGGTTTCATGGGATCTCAAAATAAAATAACACAACTTGTCAGTGATGGTTTCATGGGATCTCAAAATAAAATAACACAACTTGTCAGTGATGGTTTCATGGGATCTCAAAATTAAATAACACAACTTGTCAGTGATGGTTTCATGGGATCTCAAAATAAAATATCACAACTTGTCAGTGATGGTTTCATGGGATCTCAAAATAAAATATCACAACTTGTCAGTGATGGTTTCATGGGATCTCAAAATAAAATAACACAACTTGTCAGTGATGGTTTCATGGGATCTCAAAATAAAATAACACAACTTGTCAGTGATGGTTTCATGGGATCTCAAAATAAAATATCACAACTTGTCAGTGATGGTTTCATGGGATCTCAAAATAAAATAACACAACTTGTCAGTGATGGTTTCATGGGATCTCAAAATAAAATATCACAACTTGTCAGTGATGGTTTCATGGGATCTCAAAATAAAATATCACAACTTGTCAGTGATGGTTTCATGGGATCTCAAAATAAAATAACACAACTTGTCAGTGATGGTTTCATGGGATCTCAAAATAAAATAACACAACTTGTCAGTGATGGTTTCATGGGATCTCAAAATAAAATAACACAACTTGTCAGTGATGGTTTCATGGGATCTCAAAATAAAATATCACAACTTGTCAGTGATGGTTTCATGGGATCTCAAAATAAAATAACACAACTTGTCAGTGATGGTTTCATGGGATCTCAAAATAAAATAACACAACTTGTCAGTGATGGTTTCATGGGATCTCAAAATTAAATAACACAACTTGTCAGTGATGGTTTCATGGGATCTCAAAATAAAATATCACAACTTGTCAGTGATGGTTTCATGGGATCTCAAAATAAAATAACACAACTTGTCAGTGATGGTTTCATGGGATCTCAAAATAAAATAAAACAACTTGTATGTGATGGCTTCATGGGATCTCAAAATAAAATATCACAACTTGTCAGTGATGGTTTCATGGGATCTCAAAATAAAATATCACAACTTGTCAGTGATGGTTTCATGGGATCTCAAAATAAAATAACACAACTTGTCAGTGATGGTTTCATGGGATCTCAAAATAAAATAACACAACTTGTCAGTGATGGTTTCATGGGATCTCAAAATTAAATAACACAACTTGTCAGTGATGGTTTCATGGGATCTCAAAATAAAATATCACAACTTGTCAGTGATGGTTTCATGGGATCTCAAAATAAAATAACACAACTTGTCAGTGATGGTTTCATGGGATCTCAAAATAAAATAACACAACTTGTCAGTGATGGTTTCATGGGATCTCAAAATTAAATAACACAACTTGTCAGTGATGGTTTCATGGGATCTCAAAATAAAATATCACAACTTGTCAGTGATGGTTTCATGGGATCTCAAAATAAAATATCACAACTTGTCAGTGATGGTTTCATGGGATCTCAAAATAAAATAACACAACTTGTCAGTGATGGTTTCATGGGATCTCAAAATAAAATAACACAACTTGTCAGTGATGGTTTCATGGGATCTCAAAATAAAATATCACAACTTGTCAGTGATGGTTTCATGGGATCTCAAAATAAAATAACACAACTTGTCAGTGATGGTTTCATGGGATCTCAAAATAAAATATCACAATTTGTCAGTGATGGTTTCATGGGATCTCAAAATAAAATAACACAACTTGTCAGTGATGGTTTCATGGGATCTCAAAATAAAATAACACAACTTGTCAGTGATGGTTTCATGGGATCTCAAAATAAAATAACACAACTTGTCAGTGATGGTTTCATGGGATCTCAAAATAAAATATCACAACTTGTCAGTGATGGTTTCATGGGATCTCAAAATAAAATAACACAACTTGTCAGTGATGGTTTCATGGGATCTCAAAATAAAATAACACAACTTGTCAGTGATGGTTTCATGGGATCTCAAAATTAAATAACACAACTTGTCAGTGATGGTTTCATGGGATCTCAAAATAAAATATCACAACTTGTCAGTGATGGTTTCATGGGATCTCAAAATAAAATAACACAACTTGTCAGTGATGGTTTCATGGGATCTCAAAATAAAATAAAACAACTTGTATGTGATGGCTTCATGGGATCTCAAAATAAAATATCACAACTTGTCAGTGATGGTTTCATGGGATCTCAAAATAAAATATCACAACTTGTCAGTGATGGTTTCATGGGATCTCAAAATAAAATAACACAACTTGTCAGTGATGGTTTCATGGGATCTCAAAATAAAATAACACAACTTGTCAGTGATGGTTTCATGGGATCTCAAAATTAAATAACACAACTTGTCAGTGATGGTTTCATGGGATCTCAAAATAAAATATCACAACTTGTCAGTGATGGTTTCATGGGATCTCAAAATAAAATAACACAACTTGTCAGTGATGGTTTCATGGGATCTCAAAATAAAATAACACAACTTGTCAGTGATGGTTTCATGGGATCTCAAAATTAAATAACACAACTTGTCAGTGATGGTTTCATGGGATCTCAAAATAAAATATCACAACTTGTCAGTGATGGTTTCATGGGATCTCAAAATAAAATAACACAACTTGTCAGTGATGGTTTCATGGGATCTCAAAATAAAATAAAACAACTTGTATGTGATGGCTTCATGGGATCTCAAAATAAAATATCACAACTTGTCAGTGATGGTTTCATGGGATCTCAAAATAAAATATCACAACTTGTCAGTGATGGTTTCATGGGATCTCAAAATAAAATAACACAACTTGTCAGTGATGGTTTCATGGGATCTCAAAATAAAATAACACAACTTGTCAGTGATGGTTTCATGGGATCTCAAAATTAAATAACACAACTTGTCAGTGATGGTTTCATGGGATCTCAAAATAAAATATCACAACTTGTCAGTGATGGTTTCATGGGATCTCAAAATAAAATAACACAACTTGTCAGTGATGGTTTCATGGGATTTCTACACGTGTTGACACAAAACCAGTTAATGAATTATACCAGTGTAGTGCCTCATGATCCCTTTATTCTAACACTAACAGCGCCAGCAGTATTTCTTCCAGACTTTTTTCTCCGAGAGAGGGGGGGGGGGGGGCGACGACGGACACTTGAAATTTTCGAAGGGAGGGGAGCGGACTAAAATAAAATTTTCGGAATATAAATTCCATTTCGTTCAGGGGGGGAGGGGTAGACTCTCTTCGGGGGGGGGGGGGCTGCGCCTTCCCCCGAAGAGATGCCTGGAAGAAACATTGAGCGCCAGTGTAATAGTTATCTTATTCCATGGAGTACATCCTGGTCGCTAATCCTAACCCTAATCCTAATCCTAACCCTAATCCTAACCTCACGTACATCTAATGACAATCACGTAACACTGTCACCCACAATCTCCGTCGCGTTCTTCCATTCGTCTCCATTGTACCCCTCTCAGCAGCACATGCGTAAGTGTAAGTACGAAATTCAGATTTTTATATTGTGAGCGCAGTTGGGCCTAGGCCTATATTGTCACTCCCATTCGGAATAACAGAAGTATTTAAACTGTTTCCAAAATTGATTACAAGATACTATGAAGACTTACCCATCTCCAATATTCTGGGTCTTCATTACATTCATCAAGAGTTTTTAACTGGCAATACTGAACTTGTAGAGTGACGCACGGTTTTATCTTCACAGCCGGGGGTAAGAACTTATAAGGATGCCAAAAATGGCCAGTCAAGTTCCCCGTGTAGCGGCAATAATAATTGATACAGTCCCTTTCCAGGCCCAGCATTACTGCTACAAACGAATTATTCTCACATGAGATGTCTGTAGAAGTCATGTAAACAAGAGCGTAAGAAATAGGCATACAGTGTTGGGATAAGATTTTTATCTGTAGAGGATTCCACCAGTAGCGTAGCGAGGGGGGGGGGGGGTACGGGGGGGACATATGTCCCCGGGCTCCGACCTTAGGGGGCGCCAAAATGGGTTGGAAAAATAAATTGAAATGTTGAGGGGGGGGGGGTGGAAGTCGAAAGTTTGAGGGGGGGGGGGTGAAAATCGAAATCGAGGTGGGGGGGGGGGGGTGCAAATCGAAATCTTGAAGGGGGGTGGGTGCAAATCGAAAAGTTTGTCCCCGGGCGCCGGGAAGAGTCGCTACGCCTCTGGGTTCCACACAGGAACCACCATTTCAGGTAAGCCAGAGAGAGAGAGAGAGAGAGAGAGAGAGAGAGAGAGAGAGAGAGAGAGAGAGAGAGAGGAAATTTTTGAAGTTAATTTCTGTTTAATAAAACCTGGTCAGTTTAAAAATTGCAACATCTTTTCTTTTAAACAATTTTACCCGTTGTACCCTCAACATAACACATGAAAAACTGAGTTTAGTTGAATGGAAGAGGCAAAATTTAAACCCGCATATGAAGATATCTGAGGTACAAAAAGCTTGATTTAAAAACGACTTCGTTATATCGTAATACAATATTGAAATGATGTTCACATATTAAAAGTAATGGTGTAAGTACAATAACACATCAGGAGAGAAATAAACGAAACAACTGAGGCAACAACTTACCAGGAAGAAATAGCAGACAAGCCAACAAGGGCAGCAGCCTCATATTGGACATGTCGATAATTTTGGCCTCTTGGTTGTGCTATCTGCGACAAAAATATAATCACTTAAATAAGCTTATTTTATCATTACATATTTGCCTTGTCTAACATATTGTTTATGTCCTGTAGACGTCTTAGTAAGCCGATCTAGATTCTAGCTAAACCTACCAACAAAATTATAAACCTACATTTAAGACTTTTGTTCGTTTGAGACGCTCGTAGAACAAAAACTAAAACGAAACTGGACTGGATCTAGATTCTAGATCTAGATTTAGATTTAGATTCCAGATATAGAATCTAGATCTAGATCTAGATAATTAGTAGTAGATCTACCTTCATTCTAAGTGTGAAGTACTTTGTTTTTTATTTAAAATAAATGCTTTAAAAAAACCTTTCACAGTTTACAATATAAGAGCCTACCGCTGGGTTGCCATGTCTACATTAGCAGCTCTTAACTAAATTTTCTTGTTGTACTACAGTACAGATGAACCGAATTTTACTGTAGTTCAATGGCAACAAAACTAACAATTTTCTAGGAGTTTAAAATTGGGAATTCTCGCGAACGATTTGGCGCGCATTTACACAACGCGAAGATTTATTGTTTTAATTTCTAAAAGATGTAGCTTTTCATGAATGCAGTGGCAGATAATGTTTTGGGCATCAACATGTCTTCGCTTCTTTTTGAGCATTCAAATTTCGGCGTTACACATATGTTTATTCAGGAGAAAACATGGTGTTGATAATAGTAATTAAAGTGGCATTAGATTTAAATGAATTAGTTAAATCCTTGCTTTTATTTGGAACATATGCTGCAACAAAACTCAGCCATGCCTCACATAAAAGATGTAAAAATGTGATATAATTATTTATATTGCATTTTAACTAAAAACGTTAGATAATGCTTTCTCGTTGTTTTTCTATAGTTAGGGGTCATCCATAAATGACGTCACGCTTTTTTGACGATTTTTACTTCCCCCCTCCCCTCCGTCACACGTCGTCACAAAAAGCCAGATCCCCCCTAAAATGACGTCACACCTCAACCTACAATCCCCCTCAAAATTGCAGTTGAATTTTTTTTAAACGTCGATATTTTTCCTAAATCTTGTCTAAACTATTACAATTTATTAAAAAAGTTATCTAAAACGCGAATAACGTCTAAAATTCGTTTTCTAACATTGCTTTTTTATAATGCAAAAATGTGACGCCGCAACAGCTGAACCCCCCCCCCCTCCCCCTCATCACACATCGTCACAAAATTACGGACCCCCCTCCCCCCTACGAGTTTGACGTCATTTATGGATGACCCCTTAGAATTGTAATGATATTTTTAAAGGAAAAAATACATTACTAATTATAAATTGCTTTTTTATGTTTGATCATCATCATCATCATACCTAATTTGGGTCGTTCGGGTTACAGTTCACCTAATAATTCACCCCGTTAAATCCTTGATGTCAGGAACCCATTCAGTGACGTCATTTTCTTCCCCTTCTTCTCCTTTCTGGCACAGTGCGTTTCAATACTGATTTGGATCAGTGTTTCTTTCAGACTTTTTTCTCCGAGGGGGGTGGGAGGCAGCACTTAAAAGTTTCAGGGGGAGGGCGGACACTGGTTAAAGTATATATGTTCTACATAAATTATATTTCTTTCGGGGATGTGGGGGTGCGGAGCTCCCCTAAAAAGATGCCTGAAAGAAACTCTATTTTGAATTGACCGTTAGTTCGTGTGTCATGCCCAATACAAACTCAATTTTCTTGTTTTGACTAGGCTGATTAGTTATGCGATCTCTTGTTTTAATGTTTATATTGTTTTAATTGCCAGATAAAATCTATTTTCAAAATTTGTGTCCGTTCAAAACACTTAACTTTGGGGAATTAAAACTGGTGTTTTGAACGGACACAAATTTTGAAAATTCATAAAAAATTAGTTTGAAGATATGCACTTAAAATTTTTAGCTGAGTGCCCCAAAATATGGAAGAAGATTATGAATTGATTGTTTATTGGGCTTAAAATGTAATATTTTATGAATGGTGGAAAACCTACGAAGGGGTTAATTTTTCAAGATGGCCGCCGTTGTCATAGTTACCATGATTTTTCTACCAATTTTTTTTTTTAGTGGAAATGCATATGCGGATGTATCTTAACAAAGCTGTAAAAATATAACTGTTTTCTAACGAGTATTAAAAGAGTTTTTTTTTCCGGAGCCTTCCCTTTTAAACCATTTAGCCTATTTTATTGCAAAGTAGCCTATATCTATATATATAAAGCAAAGTGGTCAAGTGCCCGATAGGGCACTTCCCGGCGCCGCAGGCGCGTCAAATTTGGCACGATGGTGCCTTCGGGCAATAGAACACGAAGGCCGGTGACGGTTGGCCGAAAAGTCTACGGAGAAGGGGTCAAAACTAGCTCGACTGACCGGCGCCTTATATGGGCTATATTACGAAAAAAAATTTCCTCCGACGACCCCCCTTGAAATTTTGTGAGATGGTAGGAGAACACCTTGGGGTGTCACAAAAAACTCGCCATGTCCGGGAAAAATCGGGAAATGGGTCAAAACTGACCAGTCGTATTTCCCTATATAATCTTTGTATTTTATGGGAAAAACAGAGGGTCATTTCAAAACGGATTTTAGGGCACTTACCCTGTTTACATCTGGCTAATTTTTGACATGTTTATAGGTAAATGGCTTGACCGTAGGGCTGACCTGTCGGTCTTACTCAAAGCCCTCGACGAGGGCTAAAAAGTGACCGCGAGTGAAATTCTCTTTATATGAGCTCTATTACGAAAAAAATTTTCCTCCGACGACCCCCCTTGATATTTTGTGAGGTGGTAGGAGAACGCCTTGGGGTGTCACAAAAAAACTCGCCATGTCCGGGAAAAATCGGGAAATGGGTAAAAACTGACCAGTCGTATTTCCCTATATAATCTTTGTATTTTATGGGAAAAACGGAGGGTCATTTCAAAACGGATTTTAGGGCACTTACCCTCTTTACATCTGGCTAATTTTTGGCATGTTTATAGGAAAATGGCTTGACCGTAGGGCAGACCTGTCGGTCTCACTCAAAGCCCTCGACGAGGGCTAAAAAGTGACCGCGAGTGAAATTCTCTTTATATGAGCTCTATTACGAAAAAAAATTTCCTCCGACGACCCCCCTTGATATTTTGTGAGGTGGTAGGAGAACGCCTTAGGGTGTCACAAAAAACTCGGCATATCTGGGAAAACTTCGTAAAGGGGTCAAAACTGACCAGTTGTATTTCCCTATATAATCTTTGTATTTTATGGGAAAAACAGAGGGTCATTTCAACGCAGACTTTAGGGTACTTAATCTCAGTATATCTGGCTAATTTTTTGCATGCTTCTAGGTCAATGGCTTGACCTTTAGGGAAAACTGTCGGTTACACTCAAAGCCCTCGAAGAGGGCTAAAAAGTGACCGCGAGTGAAATTCTCTTTATATGAGCTCTATTACGAAAAAAATTTTCCTCCGACGACCCCCTTTGATATTTTGTGAGGTGGTAGAAGAACACCTAGGAGTGTCACAAAAAACTCGGCATATCTGGGAAAACTTCGGAAAGCGGTCAAAACTGACCAGTTGTATTTCCCTATATAATCTTTGTATTTTATGGGAAAAACAGAGGGTCATTTCAACACAGACTTTAGGGTACTTAAGCTCAGTATATCTGGCTAATTTTTTGCATGCTCCTAGGACAATGGCTTGACCTTTAGGGAAAACTGTCGGTTACACTCAAAGCCCTCGAAGAGGGCTAAAAAGTGACCGCGAGTGAAATTCTCTTTATATGAGCTCTATTACGAAAAAAATTTTCCTCCGACGACCCCCCTTGATATTTTGTGAGGTGGTAGAAGAACACCTAGGAGTGTCACAAAAAACTCGGCATATCTGGGAAAACTTCGGAAAGCGGTCAAAACTGACCAGTTGTATTTCCCTATATAATCTTTGTATTTTATGGGAAAAACAGAGGGTCATTTCAACGCAGACTTTAGGGTACTTAAGCTCAGTATATCTGGCTAATTTTTTGCATGCTCCTTGGTCAATGGCTTGACCTTTAGGGAAAACTGTCGGTTACACTCAAAGCCCTCGAAGAGGGCTAAAAAGTGACCGCGAGTGAAATTCTCTTTATATGAGCTCTATTACGAAAAAAATTTTCCTCCGACGACCCCCCTTGATATTTTGTGAGGTGGTAGAAGAACACCTAGGAGTGTCACAAAAAACTCGGCATATCTGGGAAAACTTCGGAAAGCGGTCAAAACTGACCAGTTGTATTTCCCTATATAATCTTTGTATTTTATGGGAAAAACAGAGGGTCATTTCAACGCAGACTTTAGGGTACTTAAGCTCAGTATATCTGGCTAATTTTTTGCATGCTCCTTGGTCAATGGCTTGACCTTTAGGGAAAACTGTCGGTTACACTCAAAGCCCTCGAAGAGGGCTAAAAAGTGACCGCGAGTGAAATTCTCTTTATATGAGCTCTATTACGAAAAAATTTTTCCTCCGACGACCCCCCTTGATATTTTGTGAGGTGGTAGAAGAACACCTAGGAGTGTCACAAAAAACTCGGCATATCTGGGAAAACTTCGGAAAGCGGTCAAAACTGACCAGTTGTACTTCCCTATATAATCTTTGTATTTTATGGGAAAAACAGAGGGTCATTTCAACGCAGACTTTAGGGTACTTAATCTCAGTATATCTGGCTAATTTTTTGCATGCTCCTTGGTCAATGGCTTGACCTTTAGGGAAAACTGTCGGTTACACTCAAAGCCCTCGACGAGGGCTAAAAAGTGACCGCGAGTGAAATTCTCTTTATATGAGCTCTATTACGAAAAAAAATTTCCTCCGACGACCCCCCTTGATATTTTGTGAGGTGGTAGAAGAACACCTAGGAGTGTCACAAAAAACTCGGCATATCTGGGAAAACTTCGGAAAGCGGTCAAAACTGACCAGTTGTATTTCCCTATATAATCTTTGTATTTTATGGGAAAAACAGAGGGTCATTTCAACGCAGACTTTAGGGTACTTAAGCTCAGTATATCTGGCTAATTTTTTGCATGCTCCTAGGACAATGGCTTGACCTTTAGGGAAAACTGTCGGTTACACTCAAAGCCCTCGAAGAGGGCTAAAAAGTGACCGCGAGTGAAATTCTCTTTATATGAGCTCTATTACGAAAAAAATTTTCCTCCGACGACCCCCCTTGATATTTTGTGAGGTGGTAGAAGAACACCTAGGAGTGTCACAAAAAACTCGGCATATCTGGGAAAACTTCGGAAAGCGGTCAAAACTGACCAGTTGTATTTCCCTATATAATCTTTGTATTTTATGGGAAAAACAGAGGGTCATTTCAACGCAGACTTTAGGGTACTTAAGCTCAGTATATCTGGCTAATTTTTTGCATGCTCCTTGGTCAATGGCTTGACCTTTAGGGAAAACTGTCGGTTACACTCAAAGCCCTCGAAGAGGGCTAAAAAGTGACCGCGAGTGAAATTCTCTTTATATGAGCTCTATTACGAAAAAAATTTTCCTCCGACGACCCCCCTTGATATTTTGTGAGGTGGTAGAAGAACACCTAGGAGTGTCACAAAAAACTCGGCATATCTGGGAAAACTTCGGAAAGCGGTCAAAACTGACCAGTTGTACTTCCCTATATAATCTTTGTATTTTATGGGAAAAACAGAGGGTCATTTCAACGCAGACTTTAGGGTACTTAATCTCAGTATATCTGGCTAATTTTTTGCATGCTCCTTGGTCAATGGCTTGACCTTTAGGGAAAACTGTCGGTTACACTCAAAGCCCTCGACGAGGGCTAAAAAGTGACCGCGAGTGAAATTCTCTTTATATGAGCTCTATTACGAAAAAAAATTTCCTCCGACGACCCCCCCTTGATATTTTGTGAGGTGGTAGAAGAACACCTAGGAGTGTCACAAAAAACTCGGCATATCTGGGAAAACTTCGGAAAGCGGTCAAAACTGACCAGTTGTATTTCCCTATATAATCTTTGTATTTTATGGGAAAAACAGAGGGTCATTTCAACGCAGACTTTAGGGTACTTAAGCTCAGTATATCTGGCTAATTTTTTGCATGCTCCTTGGTCAATGGCTTGACCTTTAGGGAAAACTGTCGGTTACACTCAAAGCCCTCGACGAGGGCTAAAAAGTGACCGCGAGTGAAATTCTCTTTATATGAGCTCTATTACGAAAAAAAATTTCCTCCGACGACCCCCCTTGATATTTTGTGAGGTGGTAGAAGAACACCTAGGGGTTTCATAAAAAACTCGGCAATTCTGGGAAAACTTCGTAAAGCGGTCAAAACTGACCAGTTGTATTTCCCTATATAATCTTTGTATTTTATGGGAAAAACAGGGAAATTTTAACACAATTTTTAGGTTACTTAATGTCTGTACATCATGCTAAGTTTTTGCATACACTACTATAGATGACTAGGCCGTATGGAAAAACTGTTGGTCAGACTCAAAGCCCTCGACGAGGGCTAAAAGATGATCTTGAGTGAAATTCTCCTTATATGAGATATATATATATATATATATATATATATATATATATATATATATAAATAAATTGACGAACGATCCCCTTAATATTATGTGACGTCGTAGACCGACCATGGAGGGTAACAAAAAAACTTTATTCCCGTCGGAAACAGCTATTATAGTCGTTAAATAAGTTCATATAACGTAATTTCTTATATAAGCAAACAATATAAGTAAACAATGACATACGTCATACGTTCAGTTTTCAAGGGAGGTAACGTTTTTAAAATTATTATTTTTCAAATAATTGTATACTATTTTAAACAGAAACAGAAAATGACGAAGTATAGCATTTGTTTTAGTACAAAATTAAGTTGTTAATTAAGTTAAGTATGTTAATTAAATTAATTAATTAATTTCAAAAGGCAATGTAATATAAACTATGAGATATACTGTTCATGAAACCTGTGTAGTTTTAATTCCATTTTAGTTATACATTGCGTACTTTCCTAAAATTCGCTACGAATCTACATATAAATGACTAACAAAAACATTTTTTCTAAAGTTAGCATTACTGTTTAAATTAAACTTATTAAACTTATTAAAGCACTCCACACCCAATCCATCGCTAAATAATTAAGTATTCAAATTCTCAAATGCCTTTTAAAAACCTAAGCGAAGCTAGGCAGTATGCCTAGTCCACCATAAAACAGGGTATGCAACTATAGGCTCTCCGCCCAGTACCGGCGCCAGGTTATTTAGCGCCCTAGTCAAAACTTTTAAAACGCCCCCCCCCCCCCCCGCAATTTTTTTGGCTCCCAAATTATATATATATATATATATATATAATAGGGCCTATATATTTTAAACCATTTAGCTTATTTAATTGCAAAGTATATCCACCATAAAACAACACAGATATAGGCTGAAACTCATTTCTGGTCTGAAATAATCTAGTTTTGAAGTATCTCATTTATGTGTGTCGAAAATTGATCAATAATGTCATGCTAGTGGTTTAAAGGTTTGCCTATTTTTCGTATACAACTTGTGTAGTTTTTTTTCTCTACTCAACAGTGTGTGTTAGTTACTGTAGAACAATCGCTACTGTAGCTCTATTTGTTTTATGTTTTCACAAAACCACTAGTCCAGTGGTTCCCAACCTTTTTCGAGTGGCGACCCCCTTTTATAAAAATTAAGTGACCCGCGACCCCCATAGAATTAAAAAGCTGAAATTAGTATGGAAATTAATAAGCTAAAATAAGATTTTCTAGTAGACTTTCAATATGAACTACTCTTGATAACTGTTTTATAGCATGAGTAAAATTGCATACTATTCACTAAATCTTCATTATAATTTTCTTAATTTTGCTTTTAATCGAAGAATAGTAATGAAAATAAATATATTCTCGAAAAGTCAATCAATTTTACGCTTGGGTATGAATGGTGAATACTACACAAAAATTGTGTCTACAGTTTTTCATCTTACACGGAATCATTCTGCAAATCAAAGAATTCAAATTGTAATTCATCGGGAATGCTGGCAACATCAAGGGAAGAAGAGAATGGGTAATGCGTAAATGCAGATTCTTCTTTTTTCAGCTCAGAGAAATAGCGATGCAGTTCGTTTTCAAGAGATTCAAGATGCCCAGAAATCGCTTCTTTCAAAATTGTAATTATCTCACAATCAGATTCATCTACCACACCGCAGAGTTTCTCAAATTTACAGTATTTCCAAGATTTGTTTTTTTACCGATTTTGCAGCTTTGATAAAAATGCCCCGAGATTATCATGGAAAGTGATAATATTCGTTCATTTTCCCTGAAGCTTCAGATTAATCTTATCTTGATGTTCGAACACATCTGCTAGGTATGATACTCTCTCCAACCACTCTATGTCGTTTTAAGTATGCCAAAATGTCTTGTTTCCTTTGCACTTCCAAGAACAATTGGATTTCAGATTTCAATTCAAAAACACGATTCACAACATTTCGTTTGACAGCCAGCGTACTGTTGTGTAGAAGAGCAGAACCTCGTGATCTATATTAATGTTTTTGCTCAGTTCTTTGAAGGCTCCAGATTTTTTATAATTTACGACTTATACTAGTAATGGACTCTTGATGTCGATTGGTTAGGGCAGTGGTTAGGGAGCTAAATCTTTTCTGTTTTCTGAAAGCCCGATTTTGAGCTAAACATAGATGGCGCACCATCCGTACAAACCCCCACAGCCGTTCTAACCCAATTTAATCATCCAGTTTCAAAAAAGATATTTATCTTCTCCATGCTATCTTCACAAAAGAGCAACTCTTTTATCTTTGCTATCATCCGCGTGAATATAGACACAGACCAGCAACTGCGAACACGAACTCACGTCTGTTGATTTATCATCTTGAAAAGCAAACAATGGTGAAAGCTTAATTTCAATAAAAATGTTATTTAACATTTACGTACATGTAGCGTTTGATGGGATTCTCTCCTATTGTTTTTTTTTTTTTGTTTTTTTTTTGCTTGGCATTTTCTATCGCGACTTCATTTGATGCTTGCACTAATGCTGGTGAAAACTTCTTGTTCGATCAAGTCTCTGGCGTTTGCAACTAGCTTATTACCGACGAAAGAACTCCATATATTTTTTGGTGTGTTCCGAATGACTCGTCTCAAATGACGTTTTAGTTTTGAATCTTAGATTCGTGACTGAGAACAACTTTGTACAGTGCGCTGTGTTTCTTCTCTATTACATTTCCAGTGATGTTAATGAAGCCGAATTTCAAAAATTCTTCTAAATATTTATGTTTTGTTTCAAATTACTAAGGTTTAGTATACCAGTTGGCGACCCCCCAGAAAGACCTTCGCGACCCCCAGGGGGGTCGCGACCCCCAGGTTGGGAACCCGTGCACTAGTCTATCAAGGTACAAAAAATGTATTTTTTTGTGTCTGAAAATCTAAATCTCTCCCTGTCCAACGAGATTTCTAATTCAGAGTGAGAAAAAACGAGACTTACAAGCTCTATTAAAAATCAAAATTGCTCGTGTTTTACAACGTCGCGTCATGCGCTAGAGCGATCACTAAATCAACATCAAAATTAGATAATCATCTGAAATGTTCGGAATTAAAAGATTTAGATTAAACACACACATTTTTCTCATTATATTTACAGAGGAGTGGCTAGATGAGGGCATGGGGGGGGGGGGGGGCACCGACCTAAAGGGGCGCCAAACGTGGTAGATAAAAATATAAAAAAAAATCTCCTTACTGAATTATACATAGTCGAAATAAAGAATGTTAACTGCTACTTCGTATTACGGACTTGTTTAATTATTTTCGACATCAATTGTGTGACACCAAAATAAAAAAAAGCAAAGAGACTGGTGAAAATTGCCCCAAATGAGGGAGGTGGGGGCGCATTTTCTCCATCCCGAGCAACTATATTAAATAGGCCTAATTTGGCGCAAAATTGATAGTTCATCTTGGGCACTGAAATAGATTAATATTAAATGTTTTTTTTATTCGCTCCCATTAATTCCTTTTTTTTACTATTACTCACATAAAGGAAAAGTAAAATTCATTTGACAATGATTACAGGTAGATGGTATTATTAGTACAAATGTTACTTTAAGCTAGATATAGGGTATTTTTTTCTATTAGCAATCTTAATTATAAAAAAAAAACCCAGATATTTTGTCAGGTATTGTCAATTAGCATGTCTATCTTAACAAGAAATAAGAACAATGATATCAGCTGTAGTGGGTTATTCATTGTTTGTATTCATATTTACAAAATGCATCGTCATGATAAATTAATAAATAGTTACAATAGTTACATTTTGTACACTACTGAGTTTAAAAAGTGTAAAATAATATAAACAGTCCTAGCTACAATAACTGTAACAAATATCACTACCATAAGTGCAGTTTCACAACGTCACACAGCTAACTTACTCAAGCAGATATCTCATGTCATCTACCTCACACTAACACATCATTACTGTAGATACTAGTATTACTAGTGACAATATCAAGTCATCCAGGCATTACACCTTCATTCAAGTCATCTACACAGTGAAGTAAAAGTAAAGTACCCTTTTGAATCCATGTAGCAGGTGAAGTAGAGTTCACCAGTTTTAGTGATCTGATACTGGGATACTGTGATCACCAAAATGCCCAGTTACCTTCCTTGCCCTAATGGGATTCAGGTACCCTCTAGAGCTAGGTGGCTCAGGTACCCTCTAGAGCTAGGTGGCTCAGGTACCCTCTAGAGCTAGGTGGCTCAGGTACCCTCTAGAGCTAGGTGGCTCAGGTACCCTCTAGAGCTAGGTGGCTCAGGTACCCTCTAGAGCTAGGTGGCTCAGGTACCCTCTAGAGCTAGGTGGCTCAGGTACCCTCTAGAGCTAGGTGGCTCAGGTACCATCTAGAGCTAGGTGGCTCAGGTACCCTCTACAGCTAGGTGGCTCAGGGATGTTCTACTGACTCAAGGCCGGGATCTGAACCCAAGACTTTCAGCCACACCACCCCATCTACACAAAACCTCACATGTAAGTCATGAGTGCAGTACATCAGCTTACAAACAGTCTGTGATGCACAGAACCTAAAATTGCTTACATTTATTGATTTAATAGTAACATAAAAGCAAAATATTTATTTCCTGAAAAGGCACTTAAAAATGAAATTTTATAAATAGAAATAATTCTAGTATGTGTAACAATGAGAGAAAAGATAAACTACATATACAATGCAGTCACTTGAAGGCTAAATAGGTCAACTGTAGGTCAGACAGGTCCATTAGGTCAAATGTGGGCTGACCAGGTCCGACAGACCCATTAAATCAGATGTAGATGTATTGAATGTTGAACAGGTCAGCCGTAGGTCCAGTAGGTCAGCTGTAGGTCCAGTAGGTTAGGTGTAGGTCCAGTAGGTTAGGTGTAGGTCCAGTAGGTTAGGTGTAGGTCCCAGAGGTCAGCTGTAGGTCCAGTAGGTCAACTGTAAAAGGTCCCCGCTGGAAGTTTGACCCCCTGTCTCTGAAGGGCCTTTAAAACTTCCAGTATTGAGTCCAGTTCAGCTCGAAACACCTGCAGCTGTCAAACAATTAGAGTATCTGGGTTATCTGGCTTCAAATAAAATCATCAGGTTTTCTTTATCTTGTTTAAAACAAAATATTTATTTGGCTTATCTAGCTGAAAACAAAATATCTATTTGGCTTATCTAGCTGAAAACAAAATATCTATTTGGCTTATCTAGCTGAAAACAAAATTGGTCTAGCTGAAAATGAAATATCTACTTTGTCTAATCTAGTTTTAAAAAATATCTATATGTCTATCTACTTTAAAATAAACTATCAATTCATCTTCTCTAGTTTGTTACCTGCTGGTTCTTAGAGTCCACCAGATGTTTCCATTTCTCCACTTCCTCCTCCACCTCAGCCCTGCACAACTTCTGGTTTTGTTGCATCACAGCCTCCAGCTCCGCCTCCCTCTTGTGCTGGCGCTGAACCAACTCTGTCAGTTTCTGCTCCAGCGACTCAAAATGGCGCATCTCCTGTTGACAGCAGCCATATATTGTTTTATACATACTTTATAAATTAAATAAAACAATCACTTGACCTGCTAACCCAAAAGTCTCGAGTTCAGATCTCTGTTCTGACTTGAGCCTGTAGGACCACCCAGCTCTAATGGGTACCTGAATCATGTTGGGGAAAGTAAAGTCCACCGGAAATAGTGCCATCCACAACATCTCTTCATATGGGGAGGTCAAGAAACATGAACTCTAATTCATATGCCCTATCAATTCTTAGGTCGAAAAGGAGAACTTTACTACTTATGACAATTTATTTATAAAATGAAGTAAATGTAATGTAAAATACAGCCAGTCTGGCAAAAGATATTTTGTATTTCTGGCCAAATAATGCAGCTAAACAGTTCCAGTTAGGGCTATAATCATCATCTGTCAATGCCTAAGACACATGGGGCTGATAAAGTAAAGTTGATCTGTTTCAATGACTTTGTCTAGAATACCAAAATTATTTTTATAAGTCCTGCCAGCTATCAAAGAGGTCCCCAGAAAACTATGTGTTGAACTTACAGGTGCTTGACCCAGTTTGGCCGCCCTCAGTTTCTCCTCCAGTAGTTCCACCTGTGCCATGAGCTGGGCCTCGCTTGCCTTCAGCTTAGGGATCCTCTCCACCTCCAGGGATGTCTTGTGGAGTTGGGCCTGTAGGTGCCGGATCATCACCTGCACAATAGACATGGGTTTGTCACTAGTTCTTAAACAGCAATCCACAATGGGGGGATCCTAACAAAATACTAAGGCAGCATTTTATGAAGATTTTTCTTCTCTACCAGTATCAGGGTTAGGGTAAAGTAAGAGCTGAGGCCAGTTTAAATTAGGAATATGATGTTCTAAAGATGTTCCCTGTCATGTGTCTAGTTAACATGTCCTACAAATAGTCTGCTCATCCTGTGTGACTAATGAACATGACCCCCCCCCCAGGATGTTCCCTATCCTGTAGGTGACTAATAAACATGACCCCCAAGGTGTTCGCAATCCAGTGCCTTGCCTCCTGTGTGTCACATTTACTCTGCTCACCTCCCACGTGTCACATTTACTCTGCTCACCTCCCACGTGTCACATTTACTCTGCTCACCTCCTGTGTGTCACATTTACTCTGCTCACCTCCTGTGTGTCACATTTACTCTGCAGCTCTGTGACCCTGGATGTGGATGACTGAAGCGCCTGCTCTGACAGAACTCTCTGCATTTCTTTCTCGTGGCTGCTTCTCAGAGCCTCAATCTGAAACAAGCACAAGTCAACATTTATACACCATCCACAGTCAACATTTATACACCATCCACAGTCAACATTTCATACACCATCCAGTCAACATTTATACACCATCCACTGTCAACATTTATACAGTTGTATGGGTCAACATTTATACAGTTGTATGGGTCAACATTTATACAGTTGTATGGGTCAACATTTATACAGTTGTATGGGTCAACATTTATACAGTTGTATGGGTCCACATTTATACAGTTGTATGGGTCAACATTTATACAGTTGTATGGGTCAACATTTATACAGTTGTATGGGTCAACATTTATACAGTTGTATGGGTCAACATTTATACAGTTGTATGGGTCAACATTTATACAGTTGTATGGGTCAACATTTATACAGCTGTATGGGTCAACATTTATACAGTTGTATGGGTCAACATTTATACAGTTGTATGGGTCAACATTTATACAGTTTTATGGGTCCACATTTATACAGTTATATGGGTCCACATTTATAAAGTTGAATGGGTCCACATTTATACAGTTGTATAGGTCAACATTAGTATTGTGACTTTTAGGGTCACTGACCTGGTTCTCCAGCCTCTCTCTGGTCTGTCTGGCGCCAGACTCTGTCTCAGCCAGAGACCTCCTCAGGTCAACTCTCTGCTGGTCAAGTTCCAACTGTAGCTGGTCAATCTGTGGACAAGTTAGCTAGACTCATGGACAATTGGTGGACTCATGGACAACTGGTGGACACATGGACAAGATAGGTGAACACATGGACAAAATAGGTGGACACATGGACAATTGGTGGACACATGGACAATTGGTGGACACATGGACAATTGGTGGACACATGGACAATTGGTGGACACATGGACAATTGGTGGACACATGGACAAGATAGGTGGACACATGGACAAGATAGGTGGACACATGGACAATTGGTGGACACATGGACAATTGGTGGACACATGGACAATTAGAGGACACATGGACAATTGGAGGACACATGGACAATTGGTGGACTCAAGGACAATTGGTGGACTCATGGACAATTGGTGGACACATGGACAAGATAGGTGGACACATGGACAATTGGTGGACACATGGACAATTGGTGGACACATGGACAATTGGTGGACTCATGGACAATTGGTGGACTCATGGACAATTGGTGGACTCATGGACAATTGGTGGACACATGGACAAGATAGGTGGACACATGGACAATTGGTGGACACATGGACAATTGGTGGACACATGGACAATTGGTGGACACATGGACAATTGGTGGACACATGGACAATTGGTGGACACATGGACAATTGGTGGACACATGGTCAATTGGTGGACACATGGTCAATTGGTGGACACATGGACAAGATAGGTGGACACATGGACAATTGGTGGACACATGGACAATTGGTGGACACATGGACAATTGGTGGACACATGGACAATTGGATGACACATGGACAATTGGTGGACACATGGACAATTGGTGGACACATGGACAATTGGTGGACACATGGACAATTGGTGGACACATGGACAATTGGTGGACACATGGACAATTGGTGGACACATGGACAATTGGAGGACACATGGACAAGATAGGTGGATACTAATGTAGTATTACACTAAACCTTAACCCTTAGTCACAGGTAAAATAAGTATTTCCATCATAAGCAACAACTGACCTTTGACCTCAAGACCTGGTTTTCCTGTATTAAAGCTGACTTGTCGCTGTCAGCAAAAACATCAGGCTTGTACTCCTTGTTGTTTGAATGTGTAGGGAAGGATAACTCTGTCTCTGTGTTTACTTTCTGGCTGCCATTTTTCTTACCTCCTAAAGACATGTGACTTTGTTTTATTGCTTCATGAAATGGATGATATTTCAAGTGTGGAAATGGTCTAAATAAGGGATGGTATTTTAAGTGGATATGTATTATGTGGTGGTGTGAATAAAAAGGTATGGATGGTATGCTGGTATGGAATGGATAGTGCTAATGTTAATTTTCTTACAAACATCACCATTCAGGTTCAACCATAAAGCTGACCCTTCCATGTACCTGATTTAGCTCTCATTCTGTCCAGAGCCTGCTGCAGTATCTGGACATCATGTTCCCTGTCTTTGAGCTCTCTCTGTAGTGCCAGGATCTGTTGCTTCCACTCCACCTCAGACTGACGAGCATCATTTCTCATCATATCTGTACATGAGAAAATTTACTCATTTCTCAACATACCTCTACAATATGTTTTTTTCCAAAACAGTCTTTTGAAGTTTTACCAAACTTTTAACTTCTAAGCATCACATATAATTTAAAAATTGAAATAATTTACTAATTTATATTCTCATTTCATCAGTTAAAAAAAATATATTTAGCAAAGAAAGTAAAAATTGATCTGGCTCACTCTCTTGGTTCTTCTTGACCTTGTTCAGCTCTGCTGTCAGCCTGTCTGTCTCAGCCTGCATCTCGGCCACCTGTTTCCTGCACCTGTCCTTCACATTGTCCAGCTCCCTCTCCAGGGCCACCGCGTGGCTGTGTGGGTGGTCCCTGAATGTGGGTCCCTCGCCTGACGACCTGCAGTACAGTGACAGCTGCTGCTCCAGGTCTGAAATTCTTTCTTCAAACTGAAACTATACAAAGGGTGGGGTTGGTCAGTAAAAAGATTTAATATACATGGTTGGTTATTTATAAAAAAGATTAAATAGGAATATGGTTTTTTTGGGGTGTTTAAATAGACATATATTTATAAACATGACTTATTAAAAAACAAGTAATTAAAAAAAGTCTAGTGACAATTTTAGCGCAATTTCCGTGTGTTATCTAAAAATAGCTCTGTCGTAGCGTAAATCAAGAGCAGGGTTAGTAAAACCATTGGTTAGTTATTAAAACGTTTTTTATTAATTTTTTTTTCAGTATTTTACATGTTTTATTTACAATAGAGTAACATGACTAAAAACCATTGCGCGCCCAGCTACCGAACGTGACGTCGCAGCCATTGAACGTGATGACGCGTGTGGTGTGGTTGCATAAAATGCCTACTAATTCGGTCCAAATTTTAATTAATTAAAAAAAAATTTGTGACCAAACGAAAGGATATTTTTGAAAACTTTCTTCGGCAATATTGTTCTAAATTATGGCAGGAATCGATTGGTACATGTTTCAAGTCGCTAAGTGGTCTGGTTGCCGAGATATGGGCCAAAAACTGCATTTTTTCGAGGTTTTTTGGCTTTTCCGGGAAATCCATGAGAGAAACCCGGAATTTTTATGGCCTATGTTCATCCTCGTAACTTGCTAAACATAATTGCTTTTGGAACTAGTCCTCGATATTGCTTCGTTGAGGAGGAGATACGACTTAAAGCTGCGGACACACATCCATCCATTCATCCATCCATTCCCAGAAAAGACGAGTTAATAAACGCAATTCTCCAGAATGGAAATTGCGCTAAAAAGACTGTAAAGTACTATACTTTTGCTCCACTACTTTTATCTTGTATACTCCACCTTTCCATGACCTTGTTTTGCCCATGTTACCTTGACCTTTACCCCATCATACCTTTAAATTAATTGTACTTTCATCTTGTTTACCCACTCTTACCTTGACCTTGTTTACCCTATCTCACCTTGACTTTGTTTATCCCATTGTACCTTGAGCTTGATCAGCCCATCTTACCTTGACCTTGTTTACCCCATGTTACCATGACCTTGATGACCCCCAATCTTACAGTGACCTTGTTCACCCCCCCCCCCATGTTACCATGACCTCGATGAGCCCATCTTACCATGACCTTGTTTACCCTGTTACCTTGACCTTGTTTACACCATATTACCATGACCTTGATGACCCCCCATCTTACTTTGACCTTGTTTACCCCCATGTTACCATGACCTTGTTTACCCCCATGTTACCATGACCTTGATGACCCCCCATCTTACCTTGACCTGGTTGTACTTTTGTTCCATGGCCCTCAAGTCCTGCTGTGCCATCTCATCTTTAGTCTCCAGCTCCCTCTCCAGCTTCCTCACCCTGTTCTCCAGGACCTCGACACTGCGACCTTTAACCTGCGGCTGGTCCAGCGCAGAGTCAGGCACATTGGCCGCAACCATCATCATGGCAGGCAGGGAGTTGGGGTGACGCCTGCGTATGACCTGCTCCATTTCTTTCACCTGAATGCAAGGTATTTTATTATGGTTAAGTGCGTAACAACCCTCTATGGTATGGTGCTAATATGCTACCCGTTAGTATATGGCAGTACATAGGTCGGGTGAAGTAAAGTTAATCTGTTTCTGTGACATAAACATATAAAGGAATAATGTGGTCTGTTCAATTTCCAGGACCCTTAAAATTGCCTAACATAAGTCAGGTACCCATGACAGTTGGGTGAAGATGAGCTCAGAATTTGAACCTGAGACGTTCAAGATGGTAGTTGTGAGCTCTAACACCCAACTAAACCATCACATAATAGTATGTGATCAAGTGATAAGCCAACAATTGCTAACAGAAAATTATTAAAATACTAAATCTCAGTTCTCAGGTCAATATTTGAGTCTTGAAAAGTGTACACAGATCACCTAGATATAGTGATAAGTAGAGGAACTCTACTTTATCTACACTGTAAGGGCTACTTTACTTTTTATTTTCCCCATATACTCAACTTTACAGTGGAAACTTCTTTAAATAATTCAGTAAAAAAAAAGCCAGTACCTGTCTCTCCAAGTCTTGTATTCTCTTAGCATCAGCAGCTTTTTCCTTGGCCCTGAGTTTGTTTTCTTCAAGTTTTCTGCCAGCCTGAAACGGTTATTTACAATCATTTTACTTTTATTTTTTTATTTAGACCTTTACATTTTATATTGGAATTTTCTGCTACCTAGGTTTCCTTGGGCATAAAGCTAACAACATTATCCCCTTGTATGCTGAGGTAATTGAAACAGATGTGTCTAGGGCACGAACAGTCAGAAATGATGATGAAGTGCTTGTACTGTTGCTTTTACATTTTGTGACCTATAGCAACATTTTAGAATTAAAATAACTGGAAGTTGAGAGGGAAACTTTGCTACACCATTAGGTTGTACTCATGTTTCCTTAATAATGAATTTTCAAAGTGAAAACAGGCAAGACTTATCAAGCTGGTCTGGTCACATGTAGAATGGCAACATTGCCTTGAAAGAGTTCTAAAAATTAGAAGCTAACCAAAATAAATGCCAGCTGGATTGTGAGCCTAATAACAAGATGAAAACTAATGAGACCTCACTTAATACATTAATTGACTAGGGACCTACATAACAAGATGAAAACCAATGAGACCTCACTGAATAAATTCATAGACTAGGGACCTACATAACAAGATGAAAACCAATTTGATCTCACCTCAGACTTGAAGTCTTCCAGCCTCATCTTGAGTCTGTGAATCTCGTCATCTTTCAGCCTCAGCTTGGCGCTGCTCTTGTCCAAGAGTTCCTGGTTTTCTGCGTACCATTTGATTTTTTTCTCCAGTTTGTCAAGGTCCTCCCTGTGTTTCACCTCAATGGCCTGAGAATTTGTACACATTAACAGAAGACTAACTATAGCTTTACACAGTACTGTCTGTGACTATACATATTACCACATTACTAGACCATAAACCTTAGCTTTACATAGTACCATCTGAAACTACACACAAAGCACATAATGTAACAAGACATTATAGGAGCCTCGACCACTATGTAGACTACTTCAAAATACAAAAAACCTGTCTAATTTGTCTAAATTAATCAGCTGATGATCTTTATTTTTGTTTGATTACACATGTCTAGTTTTTATTAAATTAATATAGATAGACATTCACTAAATCAACAATCACACAACTTGTCATGGATGTTAAAGACAAATAAAATATTCTACTGGTCAACAATAACACACTAAAATACTAACACACTTAGACATTCACAAGACACAAGTCTTGACCCAATCAGTTATAAACAGGACCATATAAGTAAACGATGCAAATACTAGGCTTAACAAACCTAATACAACTAGACACATACACGACACATAACCTAGTCAGATAGATAATCTTGCCAGAACCACATACAACCAGACACAAACACCACATACAACTAGACACAAACATCCCATACAACTAGACACAAACACCACATACAACTAGACACAAACACCACATACAAGTAGAAACAAACACCACATACAACTAGATACAAACACCACATACAACTAGACACAAACACCACATACAACTAGACACAAACACCACATACAACTAGACACAAACACCACATACAACTAGACACATACAACTAGACACATACACCACATACTACTAGACACATACACCACATACAACTAGACACAAACACCACATACAACTAGACACAAACACCACATACAACTAGACACAAACACCACATACAACTAGACACATACAACTAGACACATACACCACATACTACTAGACACATACACCACATACAACTAGACACAAACACCACAAACAACTAGACACAAACACCACATACAACTAGACACAAACACCACATACAACTAGACACATACACCACATGCAACTAGACACAAACACCACATACAACTAGACACAAACACCACATACAACTAGACTACTAGACACTTACACCACATACAACTAGACACATACACCACATACAACTAGACACATACACCACATACAACTAGACACAAACACCACATACAACTAGACACAAACACCACATACAACTAGACACAAACACCACATACAACTAGACACAAACACCACATACAACTAGACACAAAAACCACATACAACTAGACACATACACCACATGCAACTAGACACAAACACCACATACAACTAGACACAAACACCACATACAACTAGACTACTAGACACTTACACCACATACAACTAGACACATACACCACATACAACTAGACTACTAGACACACCACATACAACTAGACACAAACACCACATACAACTAGACACATACACCACATACAACTAGACACATACACCACATACAACTAGACACATACACCACATACAACTAGACAGATACACCACATACAACTAGACACAAACACCACATACAACTAGACACGTACACCACATACAACTAGACTACTAGACACACCACATACAACTAGACACAAACACCACATACAACTAGACAGATACACCACATACAACTAGACACAAACACCACATACAACTAGACACAAACACCACATACAACTAGACACATACACCACATACAACAGGACACATACACCACATACAACTAGACTACTAGACACAAACACCACATATAACTAGACACATACACCACATACAACTAGACTACTAGACACACCACATACAACTAGACACAAATACCACATACAACTAGACACAAACACCACATACAACTAGACACATACACCACATACAACTAGACACAAACACCACATACAACTAGACACGTACACCACATACAACTAGACACAAACACCACATACAACTAGACACAAACACCACATACAACTAGACACATACACCACATACAACAGGACACATACACCACATACAACTAGACTACTAGACACAAACACCACATATAACTAGACACATACACCACATATAACTAGACTACTAGACACACCACATACAACTAGACACATACACCACATACAACTAGACACAAACACCACATACAACTAGACACGTACACCACATACAACTAGACACAAACACCACATACAACTAGACACAAACACCACATACAACTAGACACATACACCACATACAACAGGACACATACACCACATACAACTAGACTACTAGACACAAACACCACATATAACTAGACACATACACCACATATAACTAGACTACTAGACACACCACATACAACTAGACACAAACACCACATACAACTAGACACGTACACCACATACAACTAGACACATACATCACATACAACTAGACACAAACACCACATACAACTAGACACATACACCACATACAACAGGACACATACACCACATACAACTAGACTACTAGACACAAACACCACATATAACTAGACACATACACCACATATAACTAGACTACTAGACACACCACATACAACTAGACACAAACACCATTTACAACTAGACACATACACCACATACAACTAGACACATACATCACATACAACTAGACACAAACACCACATACAACTAGACACATACACCACATACAACAGGACACATACACCACATACAACTAGACTACTAGACACAAACACCACATATAACTAGACACATACACCACATATAACTAGACTACTAGACACACCACATACAACTAGACACATACACCACATACAACTAGACACAAACACCACATACAACTAGACACGTACACCACATACAACTAGACACAAACACCACATACAACTAGACACAAACACCACATACAACTAGACACATACACCACATACAACAGGACACATACACCACATACAACTAGACTACTAGACACAAACACCACATATAACTAGACACATACACCACATATAACTAGACTACTAGACACACCACATACAACTAGACACATACACCACATACAACTAGACACATACACCACATACAACTAGACACATACACCACATACAACTAGACACAAACACCACATACAACTAGACACGTACACCACATACAACTAGACACATACATCACATACAACTAGACACAAACACCACATACAACTAGACACATACACCACATACAACAGGACACATACACCACATACAACTAGACTACTAGACACAAACACCACATATAACTAGACACATACACCACATATAACTAGACTACTAGACACACCACATACAACTAGACACAAACACCACATACAACTAGACACGTACACCACATACAACTAGACACATACATCACATACAACTAGACACAAACACCACATACAACTAGACACATACACCACATACAACAGGACACATACACCACATACAACTAGACTACTAGACACAAACACCACATATAACTAGACACATACACCACATATAACTAGACTACTAGACACACCACATACAACTAGACACAAACACCATTTACAACTAGACACATACACCACATACAACTAGACACATACATCACATACAACTAGACACAAACACCACATACAACTAGACACATACACCACATACAACAGGACACATACACCACATACAACTAGACTACTAGACACAAACACCACATATAACTAGACACATACACCACATATAACTAGACTACTAGACACACCACATACAACTAGACACAAACACCACATACAACTAGACACGTACACCACATACAACTAGACACATACATCACATACAACTAGACACAAACACCACATACAACTAGACACATACACCACATACAACAGGACACATACACCACATACAACTAGACTACTAGACACAAACACCACATATAACTAGACACATACACCACATATAACTAGACTACTAGACACACCACATACAACTAGACACAAACACCATTTACAACTAGACACATACACCACATACAACTAGACACATACATCACATACAACTAGACACAAACACCACATACAACTAGACACATACACCACATACAACAGGACACATACACCACATACAACTAGACTACTAGACACAAACACCACATATAACTAGACACATACACCACATATAACTAGACTACTAGACACACCACATACAACTAGACACATACACCACATACAACTAGACACAAACACCACATACAACTAGACACGTACACCACATACAACTAGACACAAACACCACATACAACTAGACACAAACACCACATACAACTAGACACATACACCACATACAACAGGACACATACACCACATACAACTAGACTACTAGACACAAACACCACATATAACTAGACACATACACCACATATAACTAGACTACTAGACACACCACATACAACTAGACACATACACCACATACAACTAGACACATACACCACATACAACTAGACACATACACCACATACAACTAGACACAAACACCACATACAACTAGACACGTACACCACATACAACTAGACACATACATCACATACAACTAGACACAAACACCACATACAACTAGACACATACACCACATACAACAGGACACATACACCACATACAACTAGACTACTAGACACAAACACCACATATAACTAGACACATACACCACATATAACTAGACTACTAGACACACCACATACAACTAGACACAAACACCACATACAACTAGACACGTACACCACATACAACTAGACACATACATCACATACAACTAGACACAAACACCACATACAACTAGACACATACACCACATACAACAGGACACATACACCACATACAACTAGACTACTAGACACAAACACCACATATAACTAGACACATACACCACATATAACTAGACTACTAGACACACCACATACAACTAGACACAAACACCATTTACAACTAGACACATACACCACATACAACTAGACACATACATCACATACAACTAGACACAAACACCACATACAACTAGACACATACACCACATACAACAGGACACATACACCACATACAACTAGACTACTAGACACAAACACCACATATAACTAGACACATACACCACATATAACTAGACTACTAGACACACCACATACAACTAGACACAAACACCATTTACAACTAGACACATACACCACATATAACCTACCTTAGCCTGGTCAGCAGTCAGGGAATCTGCCAACTGTCTGGCCAGTGATTCCTTCTCTTTCAACATGGCCTCCAAATGTCTTTCTAGCTCAAACCTGTTTTGTTGAGCCATCTTTAGCTCTTTGCCCAGATTTTCTTGAACTCTCTGCCAGAATACAATTATTCATTTAACCAGTGTGGAAACTATCAACACAATTCGACCTTCCAAAAAATTATCCTTAAAAAATTCAATTCTTAATAAATAGATGAACAAACGTATTAGAATCATTAATTATTGTATTCAACCCTCAAGGTTAAGCTTGGTGTTAGGTTTGAGGTTTAATTAATGACATAAAAACTAAAAACTGCAACAAAAATAAAAAGCTGCATACATTAATAGATACAAAAACAATTCACAGCCTTACTTTAGCCTCAGTAAGCTCCCCTTCTAAGTGTGCAATGCGTGTAGCTCCTATCATGGCTTCTGTGTTGCCTGCTGCTATTTGTTGCTGGACTGCCATGCTTGTGATGATCCCCTTGTTCTGTAGCTCTGTGTTCTTCAGTTCCAGCTCTTGTCTGTGGACACATAAGAAAATTCTTATAAAGTGGAAATGACAGATCCTCAAAATAAGATGGCCAGACAAAATATCAAACAAAGACCTGTGGCAAAAGACAAAACAACAGCCAATAGATAAGGACATCAAAGCCCGTAAATGGGGATGGATTGGACATACCATGAGAAGGGAAGAAGATAATATTGCAAAGAAAGCTATGGATTGGAATCTCCAAGAGATCATGGAGGAGAATGTTAAAAGAAGAGGCAAAGGGCATTGGGCTCACCAGGGCACAGATAAGGAGAACAGCCCAAAACAGAGTCCGATGGAGAGGTGTAACTGCTGCCCTTTCCTCCCCAGGAGCCACTAAGGATTATGTCAAAGAGTAAACTATTTAAAAATTTACTTAAAAATTTCAAAAGATACGTAAAGCTGCTGATTATCTGCTTAATTAATGTTGATGCAGAAATCTTTAACTGATAAAAAAAAAATTTGAGGAAGATATCTCCATAAATACTATCAAAGTTTATGGAAAACAAAAAATCTAATTTATTTGAACATGTGTTTCTTATGACAAAAATTATGTCAAATGTTTTAATAGACCTTGCCGTAAATAACATTGGTGTTCTTTTACGCTTGTCACTTGATGCAAAAAGGCCTAACATCTAGAAAAACAAATCTGGTCAGCATATAAACAAACAGCTGGACCCACATGTAATCAAACAGCTGGACCCACAAGTAACCACCAACTTGTATCACCCACCTGACATTGCTTAGTTCTGTGGTCAGCCTCTGGTTTTCCTTGAACATGCTGCTCTCCGTGGCCTTGGCCTGGCGCTGGACGGCCTTGACCTCCTCGTACAACCTCTTGTTCTCAGCCTGGTACCCGGCCAGCAGGTTCTCTTGCTCCTGCACCTCCCTCTCCAGCTTGCTCACACGACCTATAAATAGATTACAGTATTTATATTTTAACAGCTTGCTCACACGACCTATAAATAGATTACAGTATTTATATTTTAACAGCTTGCTCACACAACCTATAAATAGATTATAGTATTTATATTTTACAGTTTGCTCACACGACCTATAAATATATTACAGTATTTATATTTTAACTGCTCGCTCACTCACTCACACGACCTATAAATGGAGTGTAGAATTTATATCCTTACTCAATGTTTTAATCTTTCTTCATAGATTTTTATTTTTATTTTCTTTCGTTTACGTAAATTATGAACTTACTTTCTTCAGATCACAACAAAGGATGTGACCAACAAAATATGAAAGTGATGTGTGATTATAAAGGGTTAGAATGTAATCACAGATTATGACAGTAATATGTGATCATAGAAGCAGAAAAAGTGATAACAAAATACTAAAGTGATGTGTAATGAGAAAAAAAAACATACTCTCAGCAGGATCGCCAGCCTCTGTCTCAGTGTCTGATTTCTTCAATCTGATGTCTTCCATCTCTTTCAACTTAAGACAAAAAATATTTTTTTTTAAATCTTTATGTCTTAGACAACAAACAAAATGTATTAAATAATAAATTATTATCAATCTATAACAATACATACACTTCTTAATTACTTAGTAAGTACTAACAACAAATTTTGGTTTATTAAAAATGCAAATTACATAGCCATCCAGTGTTTAACAAAACAATTTTTACCTTGGCAGTGAGGACAAAGTTATCTTGCTTGACAGCAAAGATCTCATCTTCAAATCTCATTTTTTGGGACTCCAGTTTTTTCTGGAAATCTTTTTCTTGGGCCAGGATATCAGCTGGAAGAAAAATAGTTCCAGAATTTGGTAACATAAAATATTTAATCTGAAGTTCATCATTTCTTTACACAGCGTAACCAACTGAAGAAAAGCTAGACAGATGAGAACTAGATACAAAGAAAATCCATTCTTTCATCCCAGGAACTAACCTGACTTCATCAACCTACAGATTCCAAACCTAATCCTAACTTATGACCTTATGTATGGAAGCAGACATGTTCTAGCATGTCAAACATTTCAAATTTTTTAACTAAACTAGTTACATATGTTAGTGTTTACCAGAGTCATTCATTAAAAAAAGCGAAAACATGCACTATGAGAAAAATATTTCACCTTTCAATTGGGCATTTATAATTTTCTCCGCGCTCAACTCTTCGTTTGTTTCTTTTAGTGCCAACATTAGAGCTGTCTCCCTCTCATGTCCAGATTTAGCAGGCAGCTCTTCCTTTTTCCTCTGGTCACCACTGTCATTTACCTGAAGCAAGTTTTACAAAGTTATCAAAACTTTGTACTGGAACAAAAATTTATTGATCACAAATTTTACTACAAAATATCTGACAAATGCCACATATATTTTGCAGTTCATGGTAATCATTTCCTTAGAATTTATGAAAAATGTGTACTGAAACTTTTTAAAAAACTTCTAGTTATTATGACAACATTTGCGAAACAAACTTGACAACCTGAGCAGCACTGGCAAAGTGTTCAGTCAGATATTTGGCAAAAACTTCCATGGAGTTCACAGAGTATCTGGCACTGTCTAAACCTTTGTCCACAGCTTTTTTCTTAAAAACACCAGGAGAGGTTTCAGCTTCTGAAGTTAAAACAAATTGTATTAGTATTTATGATAATAGTTTCTAGCTTTCAATAGTAAATTGTACATAATTAAGGCAAATTTTTTCTTTATGAATTTTTCGGTACCCAGCCACAAACTTATTGGAAATAAAACCCCAGTATAAGGATAAAAACTATAACACTGGCAAGAAAAAAATTTGTCTAGGTTTTTTGTCATGCTGGGTTTTTGTCCCTGAATTTGGCTAAAAACCAATCTATATATATTTCTCTTCTTGGAGACGTTAGAAAACACCAAGCTGTAAGCGCTCCTTGCAGTCCCCTCTCTTCCTCTCTAGGAAGTCTGGTGAGCTGTGGTTCACGCTAAATGTTTACAATCGTAGAGCCGGGTTTAGTGACGCCTTTTAGGGGCATATAATTTAGTTTGAAATGATTTTAAACTTAGGGGAGGTAACTAAGAGGAGGCTGCTTTCACGGGGGGGGGGGGGGTTTGGGGGAAAGGAGGGTTTTAGTGATTTAAAGCAAAAAATTTCAGTGACAGCATTGGTACTGTCGAATTCACAAATTATGAATTACTGAACAGTAGAAAATAAAACTAAATAGCAGCGTGTGATACGCCGCGGGTCAGCTCGTTTTTTATAATACAAAAACAATATTTGTTATAATAATTACACTTTCAATACAAATGGGAAAATAATTTTCTTTCAATGATAAAATAAAGCTAGTATCAAAGAATATTTTGTTAAGTCCCTTACTTTTTGTCAGCACTGCAGCGCCATCTGCCTGAGATGACCTCTGACCTTTTGGTGGAGATTTCCCCGCAGAGGCTGACCTGTGTTTTCTGCTGGCTGGTGGGGAGGTCGACCTGCCATAACCAGAGCTCTGGATGTGGGAGAACCTGTCCCTTGCTGGTGCAACTGCAACAACAAAAGGTAGCAACATTCAAGGATACAACTACAACAACAAAGGTAGCAACATCTTTTTCAAGGATACAACTTTGACAATAAAAGATGTAACATTCAAGTATACATCTTCAACAACAAAAGTTGCAACAATCAAGTATACAAATTCACAAGAACCCTAACTTCTTTAACACCAAAAGCTGCAACATTTAAGTTTCAGTATATGCTATATTAAGTAAACACAAAGATTTCCCAGAACTTACTTTTATCTATATTTTCTGGAACAGACACTGTCCTTGCCTCTTTCTTGTTGTTTTTTTTCTCCAACCTTTTTCTGTCCTTTACGCTCTGAATATTTTATATAGAAAGTATACTGGCTTTTGTAAAACTATATACTTAATAAGTTTGGGCTTTATCAATTAGCTATACCCCCATAGATAAAAATATTCAAACCTTAAGGTTAGTCATAAAGCTAGAGATAGTGTTAGATTAGGGCTAATCAACTTTACACATGTGGCTAATAAACAAGTACTCATGTGTAGCAGATGTGCACAGTTTCAGTGAATTAAAGGTTAATCTACTGGACAGAGAACTAAGAAGTAAAGGAGGACAACCTCATACTATCATTGTGAGTTGTGACAATACAATGTAAACAAATGATCTTTATAATGTTTAGAAGCTAATTCAAACTAAGCAGTTCAGAAGTGAGTGGCCAGGAAAGCTCTTGTCTGAAGCCTGTGTCTTAGAGGGGTGGCAGGCTAACTACTGTTATAAACTTAGGGTAGTTTATGAAAAAACTACAACACATATACTGAAGCAAGAAACTATAATTTTAAACAGGTTGATGGCAATGACAGACTAAACAGAATACTATGGGAGTTTAGAAATAATGTATGCACATAAATGCATTGATGTTTTTTATGATTATTTTAGACTTTTTTCAAAGCTCAACTTACGGCAGATGTAACTGGTCGGTAAATTTCTGTGTCTTCAGTGTGGGAATTGTCAAAACTGTCTGCGTCATAGGATGGTTTGCGGTGTAAGGCTGCTGTGTTAGACATGGAGACATTGTTACAATTAGCTCTAATAATACATTTTTGTATGGGGAAACATGTCCCACATCAAATGAAAGACGTAAAAGAAACTACATACAAGGAAAAATCAAGTTAAAATTTAGAAAAATAATTACCATATATAACCCTAATTCTACATGAGGTACAACAAATATTTTTAAGTACCATTTTTTTTAAATGGATTTCATATATATCGATACACATTGAGGTTCAAGCCAAAGATAAAATAGCCCCTCACCCCCTATAATGTCTATGAAAGTTTAAACCAGTCTCACCTTGGGAGCGTGGACTTTTATAATCAGATCTCAACTGGACATCTGCCTCACCCATGTCAATTCCTCTCCTCTCTATAGCGTCCATCTCTTTCAGAATGTCCCCAACACTCCTGGCCACTAAAGTAAAACAGTATCACAAACTGTCACAATAAAACAGTATCACAAACTGTCACAATAAAACAGTATCACAAACTGTCACAATAAATCAGTATCACAAACTGTCACAATAAATCAGTATCACAAACTGTCACAATAAAACAGTATCACAATTAACTGTCACAATAAAACAACATGTTACATCACAATTGAAATGCTCCATTCCACACAATAAAACAGTACACAATTAACCCTATAAGACAGCTGTACCTAATTTTGTGCCAATATAGAGCTAGCAGCTAATTTTCACCTTTTGACTTGTAAATGATGAGCCAATCATGGACAAACCTCATAGTTAACCATGGCAAAGGTTTTAATGTGATAAGCTTATTTAAAGCCAAAATGAAACAAAGCTCATCCGAGGATGAAATACCGAAGCCAGAAGAAAGGTAAAAACCTATTTTCTCCGATTCTCAGTTCCATCTTAGTTTAACCATTAGTTAGCATAGAACTAACATTTTTCAATATGTTTTTTTTTCTTCTATTTAATGCTCAGAGGCCCAGAAATATAGTGATCAGTTAGGTTCAGCTTATCAGGACTGATAGGCTTGAATTGAAAACAATATGACAATTAAAAATGAAACAGTACCACAAGCAAACTGCCCCACCTCCTAAGAATAAATCAGTACCATAATCAAAATGTACCATCCCCTCATTATGAAAAAATATCAAAATCATCATAAAATGTGAATAAAAATACAACTGTCCCATCACAGAATGAGGCCATGCCAAGTACTTCATCAGAGATTGACCACATATAAGAAATTAACCCAACTGTTTGTTGTGTACAACTCACCAGGTCTCTCCTCATTGAGTGGTGTGGAAGACATATTGGCAGCTTTAGCTGTAGAGGGTCTGGAGTCGATGCCATACAAGGTGGGAGACATCTCCGCCTCCTGCAGCACTCGCTGTAGTGCCTCCATTTCTCTGCTAGTGTTGGTGCCAATCTGGCCTGATGTTTTAATACACAACAGTGAATAATTTTAGACATTTAAATCACATTTTTTCATCTAAATATTTTAAATGTTTTTAATAAGATGAATATAAAAATAAAATCTCGACTGATTGATGACATAAATGAACATAAACTTGCCAGATAAGCCAGGGTATTTGAATGAATCGGGCAGTGTCTGGCCTAAGTGATCCGAGGTGGCTAATTGAGGGGAGGTTGCTGTGTTGAATGTTGACTCAAGGGAGTCCAGCAGTGCCACTATTTTGTGTGAAACAATTTTCAAACTAGTTATTCACTTTTTAATTTTAAAAAATATATATGGAATTAAAATATAAATATGTAACTTAAGAAAAATATGTTCACAATACTGCTATGAAACTGAAAACTGCTATAAACCTATATAATCTAAACACGATTTTTAAAATATATTCACCTCTTGAAAGCATACTTGGTTTTTGTTGAGGAGTCTCCTATAAAAAAAATGAATGTTGATATTTCTTATGTTTTTCTAAAATTGGATGTTTTCTTCACAAAATTTCTAGAAAATCTGGCCATTCAATGTTAAAAGAAAACAATTTTAAAATTACTAAGAAGCAAATCTGGCCAAGTCAAATGTTTATAGAAAATAATTTTAAAATTATTTCTGGTACTTTTTTTTTAATTGGTTCTTTTCTTTACACAATTTCTAGGGGCAAGACTGTCCATTCAAATGTTTACAAATGTTTAAAGAAAACAATTTTAAAATAACTAGGTTCAAATCTGGCCATTCAAAAGTTTAAAGAAAATAATTTTAAAAATGATCCTGACTCACTGGTGTATCTGCAACAGCTACTTTTGCTGGAGTCTCTGTGTCTTCTGATAACACTGAGGTATCAGCTGGGGTGTTGCCCAGATTAACAGCAGGTGAAGGCAGGGAGGTGGCGCCTGTTTGCATGGCAGGTGAAGGCAGGGAGGTGGCGCCTGACTGGACAGCAGGTGACAGCAGAGAGGTTCCACCTGTCTGACTGAGTTCCTGGTTTAGACGGCCGTAGTCTACAGTCCCATCTACATCCTTCTCTAGATTCTACAGCGACAAGACAAAAACAAAGCGATTGAACAATCGTCAACATTAATAAGTCAAGCTAATGTGAATAACTAATCAAATATATAATACAGGCCTACACAACTCATGCGGAATGTAGAGAAGTCACCTGGAAAAAGTGTTGTTTATCAGCAAGTTCATCAAGTGTGTCGAATCCAAGATTATCTTTGCTAAGGTTGGACTTGGCATGGTCATGATCATAGCTTGCTGTCAGTAAGGAAAATAAATACTGGTTGAATTGGGTACAAAATATAATGCTTAATTCCAAAATCACACACCATTTTTGCTATACTACTGTGTAAATTTGAATAGTTCAATCAACCATATAAAATGTGAATATCTTTTGTTTCAGACACAACTAACAATTACACCACACAAGACACTATTTAACTGAGAGAGTTTCAGTATAAACTAAATAATTTTTAGTTTGATACCAGTGGTAAAAGAGAGAATCTTACCTGTCCCTGAAGTGTCTAAACTTGAATCATTTACGGAGATCTTAACAGGAGAACTGTAAGACAAATGCAATATCATCTTAAGATAAACTACTTAAGATGAGTAGGGTCAAGCCTACATAGTAAGTTTAGGTAAGCCAACAACACAGACCATTACACTGTTACACCCAAATTTTATTTTACAGTTTTATATAGTTACAAGATGGACTAAACTACCTGACCATGACAACTTACACTGGTTTTCCTTTCCCTTGGCGATGGGAATCTATCTCCTCAGTTCTTTCTGATACTAAAAAAATGAACATTGTTTATTTTCATTGAGCATGTGCCTTTTTTTTAATTCTGTAGTTTTAAATAAAATGCTATTTATAATTGAATGTTTCATTTTTAAAAAAAGGTATAGATTAGTCAAAAATACTGGTTCATTTTCTTACAAAAGTAAAGTAAGCTCCCTTTTTGAACCTGGTGGCCCATGGGGAAAGTGAAGTAGAGTTTATGTGATCTAAGCATATGAAGGGATAGTGTGGTCAGCACTATGCGTAGCCACCTTTACCTTCCCTGATGTGAGTTAGGTACCTATCAGAGCTGGATGGAATCAGGGGCGTTCAACTGACTTGAACCAGGATTCGAACTCGAGATTTAGCAGTCTAGCACTCTACAGCTAGGTCACTTTCTTGCAAGTTTGAACCGATTTGTTGCCAATTTAATTTAAGAACAGTGTTGTATTTTTATAACATAAAGCCCAGATTTTTAAAAAAAATAGATTACAATATTTATTATATGCTATATTTATATTTTAAAATTTTTTATCCCTCAACAAGCACATCAACAATGATCAATGATTTTCTGTTTAACTAAACCCACCAACACTGTAGGCTACACAAGCATACCTTGTGAGCACAATTTAAATAGACCAACAATAATTTTTAGACATGTTCTGATGTCCACCCTACAGTCCTACAATACACAGAGACTTACTGTCTTCCAAGCTATCTTTACTCATGGCTACATCATTCTTGGATTTGGTAGTTCTTGTTTTAGCTGAGCTGGTCTATATTTTAAAAACATAAGTGTTTATTTAAGTTATCATATTCAGGTAATGTCTAAACATAAACAAAAACATAGGGTTATCCAATTGTACAGAACGTATGTTCTGGTTCATATAAAAGATACCTGTGATTTTAATTTCTGTTCATCTTTTTTGGTGAACTTTTTGTTGATAACCACTTGCTTGCTAGCATTGGCAGGTTTCACTGCTGTATTTTTTCCTTTCACATTCTGTTTGGTTTCAATTTTGTTCGTGCTAGACTTGGACCTCACAGGCGACTCTAAAGATTTCTTGGTTTTTATAAAACTTTTGCTTTTTTCTGAGAAAGGGATAGGCAAATTTAAACCTCAATATGTTTAACCCATTGAATGAAGTACATAATTTGAATGTCAAAATGAATAATTTTTTAGCTTATAATTTGAAGAAAATTTTAAAAAAAGTAAATTAAAGTTTAAAAAAAAATTGATACATTTTTCAAAAAAAGTATCTCAGAAAATAGATTTCATCTGTTTCTTAACCTTGCAGTACAGAGAAATAATGTGGTCAGCACTACAAGCAGCCACTTTTACTGTCAGTCAAAGACTAAATTTAAAAAAAATAGATTTACATAAAAGCAACAAATCCATGAGAAATACGACAAAAATCGCATAACACACCTTTGACATAGCTGTCATCCTCATCCAAGTCATTGGCCCACCACAAACTGCTAGAACTGGAATCTGCTTTCTTGGCCGGGTTTTTCAACAGCTGATTGATCTTCTCTGTATCATCCCCAGAAGAGACAGACTAAGTAGTGAAACAGATTGTGAAATCAACAATGAGAGATTTGTGTTCTCAAGGTAGGCAATGTTTATATTTTTAGAATAAATTGCAGCAAAAATGGCTCAGTCATTCTTAATATTATAACAACTTTATCAATCAAACAAACAAGATTTTTAAACTAAGTTTGATGATGGACATGCACATACAAAAAACAGATAACACATGAATTGAATTTAAACACATTAATCCTCACTAAATCAAACGTAACACAAGAGGACCATCATTTATCCTCAACTAATTTATTGACATGACTAGCTTAATCAAACTAAATATCATAACATACGATTTTTAGAAATTCTTCAAAAGTACTGTCCAATTCTTCTTTAGACCAGCGCTTGGATTTTGCCATTTCCTGAAAAAGAAAACGATGAATTATTAATTACAGTTAAAAAGAAATAGCAGTGACCCTATTGGCTGAGAGAAATCTGTTCACTACTGTTGACATGGAATAAAAAGTATTTTAAAACATTATGTCTTCTCACAGCCTTAAAAAAATATTTAAATATAAAAATTATTATTATTAGGAAGGACTGTTATAAGAGAGAACTGCCCGACATTTTAATCTGATGTTTTGCTTTTCTAAGGCAAACTTGATTGACTATTGTTTAATTAAGACTTAAGACTACCATTATTTTTGTTTTATAAACTGCCTTTCTCCTAGTAAAATGTTTTTAATGACATTTGTAAGAATTGTTAACACATCATGTTTTTAGGTGTTCTAATGCAATTAAAAAACTAAAACTTTGTGCATATTAATTGTACTTCCCTGTAATTAAAGAAGTTCAATATCATGAAGTGAAGAGAGCAAAAAAGAAAGAAATTTTTGGTCAAATTTTGATTAGTTACCAAAAAAAATTGTAACAAATTTCCCTTCTCTAGAAAATAATATTAATACAAAATCTATTCTAGAGACATTTACTATGTTGTTATGAACACAGAACTGCAAGTTAATAGTAAAAGTAAAACTACTTTATGATGGTGAAGCTCGTCAGATGATTTAAATTTAATTGCAATTAAATGGTCAAAACTTGTTTAAGTTTCTCCCATATAGATCTAGATCTAAATATTTAATATTAACCATGTTTAGTTTTTAGGTGTTTCAGCCATTGGCTGCATAATTTAAAATTTTGTTTTTTAGAAGTTAAACAGCTTTTTATTTTGGCTGATTCTAGCCGGAATAAGATACGCATGCCATAATGCCATACGCATGCGCAATGGAGAGAAACTAAGACTTGCCTTAGCGGCGATGTTTTCGATGGTACTGCGCATGCGTGTGTTTACAACCGCAGAACCCTAACACCAACCCTAATCCTATCCTTCCTATACCTAACCCTATCCCTATCCATATCCCTAATCCTACCCCTAACCCTCATTCTAGCCCTAACCCTAGCCATAGGTGACTGCGCATGCGCAGAGCTATCTTTTGCCGACTAAGTGGAGACGTTGGGGAGAAAAATCTTCTTCAGAGTAGACACTTCGTTTTATTTATTTAGGATTAGATTATCATTAGATAAACAGATCTAGGTATGATTTTTAATTGATGTACTACTCTATTTTGTTTACATTTTAACAGTATTTTAGCTTTACTCTTGTTATACTGCCCCTCCCCCCTCCCCTAACTAAAAATTCCCAATTCAACCAAAGAAAGCCAAAGCGCTGAAAAAATATTTTTAAAATTCATAAAATAAAAGATAATTTAAACATATATTTAAATATATAGGCCTATACCTTACAACTAATCTATGTAGTAAAACATTTCATTGTACTTTTGAAAACAGGTTGAATTTACTATATTATTCTATAAATTTCTGCGTTCTACATAAAATATTGGTTTCAGCATGTCACATATCCGCCATTTTTATACAAAACAACGGTGTATGGTAACTGAATAGCTCTAGATTTAGGTGAAGACAGTCTTTTCACTCCCATAAAATCTATCTCATACTTTTTATAAATTAATAAACACAGGCAAACAATATAAAAATAATTAGATCAACCTTATATGTTTCAGGCATATATGTGCGTATTTGCACTTTTTTTCTAGGTCCTTTACCAAAAGAAAGATTTAAGAGCCTATTTTCACTTAAAGTGTAGGCTTAGGTCAGCGTGAAGCCCATAAACTCAATCTGCGTATTATATAATCAAGCTCTTCAAAAGCACCCAGATTATATGATTTGTTTACTTTTTTAAACTTAAGAAATAAAATTAAAATACTGATTGAATGCAAGTAAGTTGCCATCTATATAGATCAAATTCCTAAATGGGAAAGGGCTCGGACCTATTCTGTTCATCCAATAATTCACAAATGTATAGTCGGGGAGGGGGGGGGGGAAGAAGAGAGAGAACGTGTAGTAATATCAGTTGTTGCTTTTTAGATAGTTAGTTTCTAACAGAATGTTAGCATTTAATTTGTCTGGGTAGAATATCGTTTGTCGTCATTTTTGGTAGGGGGTTTTGGCGTTTGTTGGAGGGACTAGAATGATGGAATAAATATTATATACATTTGGGGGTTTTATAAATAATTTCATATATATCTTATTAGGCCTATCATTTAGCATTTTTATGCTTTTGGGTATGTTAAGTTAAATAATATTATAAGAGTCCGAAATGTCTTATAAACCCTAAACAAAGGGCAATTTTCAATTTATATCTGTCTGTTGTACTATGTAGGCTAATTTTATATGTTTTTTGGTCAGTAAACTGCTGCATTTATTTATTCACTTTATTTCCTGTAGGCCTAGTCTATATACTAATATAGATCATACTAGATCTATATTGAATTGATGAGCCAATCAAAAGACGGGTATTGTTACTAGTATAATTAAGGGTTAACATTTTTAAAAACATTCTTAAATTCCATGACGTCATTTCCGTAAACAATATTGATCACCTCTTTGTTTACATTCAGGGTCATTCCAGATTATTCCTTATTGCTCATCGATATTCAGTTTCAGTTTGCTGGCAATCACTATAATTAAAAATGTAAAACACCTAAAACATTAGTAAGTACATTAGTGAGCTTTTAAAAAATTCTATTCACATAAAAATACCAAAATAGCGTTCTAGTTTAATTGTCGAGTACAAGCGTTGTTTTGAAGTTTTGTAGGTCAGCTGTTTCAGTTTGTGTCTGTTGCCAGTTGCATTTTTTACAGCCGATTAAAAAAAAATCTTTATTGTATATTAGCAATGCCAGCTTGATCGAAGTCGAGATCTTGACTCTAGATATAGATCTAGTTTTGGTCAAGTGAATAGTATACCTAATCTTAATCTAATTTTATAGTGATAAACAAATGGAAGGGAGGGTCTACTCAAGTCTACTGTGTCGAATTCACAACTAGTTGAACTAGCTCTAAGTTCTAGACTCTAGAATATCTAGATACTCTAGAATGCTCTAGAATAATAATACTTTATTTCTAGATCTATGAAGTACTGAAAATGAAAAGTAGAAAATAAAACAACTAATAAATTATGCAGCGGGTCAGCTCCTAATAATACAAATTTTTATATTTTAAAAATGTAGGCCTATGTGTTAATTATTTTTTTATGCTGCTGTAGACTAATTAAACATTTTTAAATATTAAATACCATAACATGATTTTTTTTTTTAAATGTTTCAGATCACCACATCTCCATTGTTCGTCCACATTTCACCCACAACAGAGCACATGCAAGCAAACAACTTTGTGACCTAAGAAATATTCAGGGACCCATATATATTCATATATTTAAAAAAACAACCACTTGTATCTGGGTTAAACAAAATGTCTGAACCCAACAAAGATGACAAGAAGTCCAACCCACCAACTGTTCCAATAGATGCTGGACCCCCATCATCCCCTAGATTGCCCAGCATTCCAGATGAGCTTCTCAACATGGTTGGAGGTAAATTAAATTGTACAAGTTACAATACATAAAAGATTCCTTTTCTAATATTAACACAATATACAACTTATCTTAAAATATGATTTTAAACTGCATAGTTAAGTTGTGGATAGCTCAAGACTACTATTCTTATCTTGATTCTTCACTAGTTCAATGTTTTATATTAGCTTGTACTGACAGTATTCTGTCTGGCAAGTTACTAAAACAAAATTCACTGACTTCTCACAGCACTCTTATGGGGCAATGCATTGAGAAAAACAACAGCTACTCTAGTTTCTAGACTAATTCACAGGGTTTCTTAAAATGTGTGACTAGCATCTTAGCATGCTTGAGCAGAAAAAAATGCATTAACACATCTCCACCCAACCATTTTGAATGCTTTTGGGCTCAATATAAACTAATAATCGTTAATGTTAATAATGTTGTTAAATTTGTATTGTAAAATATAGTTAATTTTTAAAGAAATATATAAAGGAGACTAAATATAAATATTTTATCTACAGCATCACCTCCAAGATTTGTGAATTTCGACCAGCTAATGTCAGCAGCAGATGGCATTAAAAATATGAAACTTGCTCATGAAATCGCAGTCAACAATGATTTTGAAATTCATAAAGAGGAGGTTCCATCAAATAGGTAGGATGTACTTTAAATTCATCCAAAGGTTGTTGTAAAATATAATTTTTTTTTAAAGCCATCAAGTATTATATGATCTATTTATGTTTTGAACACACTTAACATGTAATTATTATAAAAATATTTTTTAAACAGTATTGAAAAACAAGTTGCAGAGACTGTTAAACGAGCATTCTGGGATGCCTTCAAAGCAAAAATGGACCAAGATCCCCCTGACTACAGCATGGCTTATGCTACAATCAAAGAAGCCAAAGAGGTTTGACTTGCCACATTTGCATTACAGATTCAATGTTTGCACTATTGCTATCTGTTACATTTTTGTGTTATTTTATTAAAAATTGAGTTAATGTATTGATTATATTTTAATTTTACAGACTCTTTTAGGTATCCTCCTGCCTCAGCACCTGCGTCTTAAAGATCAGATTAATGAGGTTCTAGATTTGGATTTAATACATCAGCAAATGACAAATGGGGCATTTAACTTTGAATACTACTGCAAGTATGTGACAGACACTATGGCAAGGTTGTGTGCCCCAGCTAGAGATGAAAAAATTGCAGAGATCAGAGCCATCACTGATGTTGTGCCCAAGTTTAAGTAAGTCTTTTAAGTTTGTATCATATTTCTGAAGACGTAAATTTTAAAAGAATTCTTTGTACTGCAATTTAGCAAGTGGGAGTATAACTTCCTAGATCTTCCTTAATTGCGGATGTAGTTAAGTGGTAATCTTCCAATGATATCAGAACTCTATAGAAGAGACTTTTTTCAAGCACCATCCAAGTCCCATTTTGTACATTTTGGATGAATGATAAAAATGTAATGAAGAGAAGAAACTTAAAGATTTGAACCTTTTTTTAATAAAGCGTGTTAGCATTCTGGACAAGCCGATTAAAATCATAACTATGTTTAATTCTAAAGAAAATCATAATGAAATCTGATTTCAGTATAAAATGGACTTCAGCAGTCATTTTTTAAGCAATGCTTGCCAATTCGCTCATTTCATTTGCACTGTAATCATTTAGACATAGTAATAAAAAAATATTCCTGGGCAAATTTAGTGATAGGGGGGGGGGAGACAGAGAAGGAGGGAGAGAAATAGAATTATGTAGTTTGAATATGTTTGAGGTTTGATTTGTGCTAGATTTTGTTCTAATTATGTTAGTGCTATGGGGAGGTGAAGTTTGGGGGGGGGGGGGGGGGGTGTGGACAACTGTAACATTCAATTCCACCCAACCAGCAAAAAGTGCATTGAGATTTAAAGTGTTCTTGTTTGTACTCCAAATTTACTTTATTCACAATTTAAAACCAGCATAGTCTGTGAAAACTACTGTGGATGAAGATGTGGATTAATTTCCCTACTTTCAGGGCCATCATGGAAACACTGGAGTTGATGAGGAGAGACATGGCCAACTTCACCATCAAGCAGATCCGACCCTACATCCAACAAAACTCCATCGAATATGAGAGGAAAAAATTTTCTGAGTATTTTGAGACACAAAAAGGTAATTGTTTTGTATTTTTTAAAGTTGGATTTTCAACTGCATACACAGTATTTTTTTTTTTTTGAATTCTGGATATTTTGAGACCATAAAGGTAATTTCCTGTAATAAAAAAAATTGTATGTTTAATTGAATTGCCATGTTGTAGAAATTTTTTTTTTTTGTTCCTATGTATGTCTGTAGTTTATCACTTTCTCCACTTTATATCCAGCCATGGGTGTTAATGCCCTGCAGTATACAGAAGTCTGGTTGAAAAGAAACTATGATAAAATGGTCCTGAATGGAACAGCTCCCGGTGCTTCTGGTGCTAGTTCTGTGCCCACCCCCGCTAACATCATGAGCGAAGCTTACATGGAAGTATTTGACTGGCCTGATCCTAATAACTTCCCTGAGGTATTTTGTGGTTTTTATCAGTAAGGTGTTAAAACTGCATTTTAAGTATATTGTTGTGTACTTTTAAATATTTATGTGGATTTTAAAATTTGAAAAAAAAAAAAAACTAATAAGTTTGCTCTTTAGTTTGTTAAACATTATGTAAGAAATTTATCTTATTTATAGATTACGCTTAAATAATTATTATAAAGATATTTTATATTAATTCTAAGTGTTGCTCAACATGAATAGTAGGTTATATAATTCATCAAAGTAAAAAAGTACTTTTAACTACAGCAGTATAAGCTTAAAGAAGAGATACTGTAAGAAATGCCTCTCAAGTACTTTAATATGATGCATTGATGAAATGTCCAAAGAGTTAGTAACCAAACACTGAGCAACAATGTTGGTACTCAATCTAGACCATTATGATGGACCAGCTGTTTCATATATTGATGTTGGTACTCTATATAGACCCTTATGATAGACCAGCTGTTTCATATATTGATGTTGATATTCTATCTAGACCCTTATGATGGACCAGCTGTTTCATATATTGATGTTGATATTCTATCTAGACCCTTATGATAGACCAGCTGTTTCATATATTGATGTTGTTATTCTATCTAGACCCTTATGATAGACCAGCTGTTTCATTTATTGATGTTGTTATTCTATCTAGACCCTTATGATAGACCAGCTGTTTCATTTATTGATGTTGTTATTCTATCTAGACCCTTATGATAGACCAGCTGTTTCATATATTGATGTTGTTATTCTATCTAGACCCTTATGATGGACCAGCTGTTTCATATATTGATGTTGTTATTCTATCTAGACCCTTATGATAGACCAGCTGTTTCATATATTGATGTTGTTATTCTATCTAGACCCTTATGATAGACCAGCTGTTTCATTTATTGATGTTGTTATTCTATCTAGACCCTTATGATAGACCAGCTGTTTCATTTATTGATGTTGTTATTCTATCTAGACCCTTATGATAGACCAGCTGTTTCATATATTGATGTTGTTATTCTATCTAGACCCTTATGATGGACCAGCTCCGTTTCATGGCTCTGAGAGACAAGCTTCACACCCTGGCCTTGATAACCTCAGTCCAGCTGCTGACCTACAGTGTGGTGGGGCCGTCCATTGAAGGCGTGGAAGATCTCAAGCGACAGATGAAGGAACACGTGGAGCTGCTGCTACAGGATGTGGGACAGAAGTAAGTACAGAAGATGATCTGAGCCTTCATCTGGCCAATGATTGGGGTTATGCCATAAGGAGTTCTGTCTTGGTTGTCAATGAATAAATATTTTAAGAAAAATAGAATATATGAACAAGTTAAACTTTGAGCAAAAAAAAAAAATTTTTTAAACTTTTTTTCTATCAATTTGTAACATTAAGTTAGATTTGAAAATTTTAAATGTTGCGGCTATAGGTAGTTCATAGTTAAAACAGCTGTTATAGGTAAAAACTATTAAGTATCACAGCACCCATCAAGAATTATTAAACAAACTTGCTTGACATGCTTGCTTCTCAAGTATCTCTAGGGGAAAGGCTTAAAAAGGGCGGCATTATTCATTACTTTGATTTGTCGGTGTACTGATAGATTTTGATTATCTGATTGGCCAGTGCACAAATAGCCTTGGACAGCCGCTGAAGCTGTTCAAAGTTCTGTACAAATAGCCATCAGAAGGCTTTTCATAGCGAACTACTAATACACTAATATAATTTTTGTACAATGTCTATGATTTTTTAAAAATCTATTTAGTTATTGTAAAATGTCTATAATTTTTGTGTATCATCTATAATTTTTGTAAAAAAAAATTTGTTTATAAATTTAAAAAAAAATCTATTATTTATGTATCTACTGTAATTTTTGTACTTCAGGGGCATCAAGCCAGTGCTAGAGTCTATAGCAGAGCAGGTGGTGAAAGATGTGGGCACTAGCCTGGCTAATCGTAGCTTACCTCCCCTGCCAGAGTCCTCAAAACAGGCCTTGAAAGGACAGATAATGAGCCTTGGCTCAAGGGACAACACTGTCAGAAAAATTATGAGTAAGTCAAATCTTTTTTAACAATTTCTCGTCAAGGGACAACACTCTCAGTAAAGTAATGACCAACAATGCGAGATGATTTCATGTTGGTTCAAATTTCTCATTTTAAAGAGTATGTGAAAAACTTCTTCTAAATTTGAACCAATCTTCTAATTTGTCAAATATTTTATTCTCAAAATAAGCTGAAATGAACCTTGGATTTTTTTTTTTTTTTTGCTGACCCTTTAGTATAGCTGGTTTTGTTTGCTCTTCCTGTTATCTAATAAAAGTAACACTAGCAATCTCTTATTTATTCATAGTTGACATTTTCAAGCTTAAGTATATTTGGGTTAGTTGGTTATAGAAAATTTTGCTGATCTTACATGGTCCACTGACATCTATTGTGATGGTATAACCTAACTGCTTAGTTTTCTTCTTTAAATGCTTTCTTAGAGTTGTTTTATTTTTTAATTCATAATTTCTTTTTAATTAACAAAATGTCTTTTTCAAAACCTTTCTTAGATCTTCTTGATATTTAATAAAGAACAAACTGTTTTTTAATGTGATGACATTGTCTAGTGGTAAAAAAGTGTTGTTTGAATCACTAAGTTCAATCTGATGGACTTAACTGATTCAACCCAGAACTGATGGGTACCTGACCCGAGTTTGTGAAAGTAAATATGTCTGGGTATATATTGCTGACCTCTGTCTCTGTCCTGAGCTCAGAAATACAGATGAGCTCTGCTTCATCTGCCCTATGGATAAAATTGCTTAAACTAAAAAGGCAATGTCTCTACTTAATTTATTAATTGTTTGAATAAATGTTTTATTAAAGTGAACTCTGAACTACGTAAATAAATTTCAGGCACTCGGCTTATGGAGTTTATCCGAGATGGGATGCTGGGTAAACACGTCAACAACCTGAGGGTCCCCAAAGGGTGCACGGCTGTACAGCAGGAGCTCTCCCAGATCCTGGGAAACTTCCTGCGACTCACGTCCCACAACCGCTCAGTATTTGGAGAACAGTACTCTCAGATTCTGGAGAAATTCATGCACAGGGCCGGCAATGGAATCTCTCCCAGTGTTAGCCCAAGGGACATTGATGCCTAGGTGATCAGGCAGCATCATGTCAGCTATCCTAGTGGCATGTGCAGGGTAAGTTGTGGCAGCTTAACATTGTCATACAGCAGTCATCCAGTGGCCAGATTAAATTCTAAATAAATTGCCAAAATGGCATATTTAATCATTTCCACATTATTTTATGCCCTGGATAGAAGAAAAATTTGAAATCCCTCTTTTTTAAGAAACCTCCTGTGCATGATTACTTAAATTTCAATTTACATGTAAATTTTAATTATTCTTTAAAAAAAAAGCTGCTTGCATTTGTTTTATGACTTACAGCAATGTGAATCTACTGCTAAATGATACTGTTGGCAATCTCTTTCTAACTGTAAATTTATTACACTAAAATATTTTATTTTAACTTAAGCTGAGTTAAATTTAAAGACTGAATTTTTTGCCAAATTTTTAAAACAGTCACTAAGAAGGTCATCATATAATTTGTATGACTTAATATATATGTTTGTTTTAGATTTGAATACTTCACATGGGCATCTTATGTTGTGCAAATTGTTTTCACAAAGATATGATTAAAGTTATTTGAAATCTCATTTTTTATTGCAAATATTTTAACCAATCATAATTTTTTATTGCATTTGTTGCTTTACTTTAAAACAGAAAAGTCTTGGTTTTTATAACACCAAAACCTATGTGCTTTCTCTATGTAAAGTTGCATTGTTAATGTTTGTACAAAGATTTTTGCAAGTTTTGCAAAAATATAGCTTTAACTGTATCAGTTTCTATAAAAATGACTGCTTCAATGAAACCCCTATACCAAGTGATAAATTAAACCAAACATAAAAACTTGTAACACCGCCATTCTTTCATCTTCTTCAACCAAGTGGCGTTGGTTTAATCCCCAATAAAACTTGTGACGTTTTGTATTTTTCATTTTTAAAAAAGAAATGGTATAATCGTCAAATGTTGTAAAAGTCAAAGAATGGTGTCAGGTGAAAGGACAGCATCAAATGTTGTTAAAGAACAGCATTATTATAAAGTTATTGCATTTCAGTCCTTGCAAATAATTCAGAATTTTCAAAGAAATTAACATTTTGCAACTGTGTATTTGTTATGTCTATTTACAAATCAGATGTATATTATAATCTTCATGTTTTTAAGTATAAGTTCATGGTAAGAAATATAGCCAGCAATAATGAAAACAAATTGATATAAAAATCTGCCATTGAAATGCATTTTAAGTTGTTTTTTTTCACCTACATGTCTTTTAGATGGTTGGATAACATTCTAAATGTAGTCATGTTACATTTTTCAGTTTTAGTCATTACTGTATTGTTCTTAAATTCATTTCTGGTAAAATTTCTTAAGTTTGGCATTTTAAAATTTTATTTAAATACAGTAAACCATAAAATTAACCACTAATGGCAGTCTAACCACTAATAACAAGTGTGTGAAAAGGACATTACAAATGAACAGTTTGTTAACCACATAAGAAAGCCTTTTATTAGCTGCTGATTTACATTGATAATTGAACATTGTATCAAGTTAAAGGGAAACAATTGTAGTAGCTTTATAGGCCAAAATCTTTTTAAAAATTTGTGAATATAAAAATGTCTTATGGCACCTAACTAAATTTGTGTTTATATAGGGGCATATATTATATGTATCAATATGTTATAAACAAGATGACTAAAATTTAATTTTCAATTCATATATTTCAGTATTTGTTATATTTTAAGTTTTTTCTCTTGTAAAAAACTGTATTCTGATTTATAACATGATCATTAATTTTTACATACACTATTTTTTTTTCAAACACCCACCAATGTTACAAAATGGTGTTTTTTTGTTTTATAAACAGTTAAAGAAGTTATTTATCCCACTCAGGAAGATTATATCCAATTTAAGAAATTTTTAAGTCTATTATTTAATTTTTTTTTTAATTCTAAAAGCTGGCCATTTTTATTCTCATTCTAAAGTGGCCATTTTATTCAAATTGGCCACTTAACTCTAAAGCTAGTCAGCTGAGGCTAGCCTATGTAAGGAACATAGTTCAGCCATACACATACGTCCACTATTGTTTAATACAACATTTATTTATGTATCTATAGGTCCTACATAAAGCCATTTTTTTCTTGTATTTATTTTTTTAAAGACCAACTATGCCTCCTATTGAAAGAAAATTTTGTTAATGCTTCTCTTTATATCAATCATTAGTTCCCATTGTAGTTTTTTTTTTTTTTTTTGCTTCTAGCATTACACTCTAGAATATAGATAAATGGAAAACCAGAGCAGTAAAAATTTTAACTATTTTCCTTGAGATCAAATTGTTAGGTTTCTTAAAGTCAAGCACTGGCACACTACATCATCATCATAATTTTAAGAGAAAAGTGCAACGGTTTTAAAATAAAATGTAAATTAGTTTATAAAACCCATTGACCAACGTTATTTTTTTAGAAGATGTTTCGGTGATTGTGTAAATATAGTTTGTGTTGTGTGTGGTTAGGATTTAATTATTAGATTGTTGTATTCACTAATTGCTATCACATTACAATGGCTTGATGCTTACTCATAATTAATGATTTCCCATAATGAAATGTATAATTGTCATTAAAACCAGAGGACTTGAGCTATTATTTACTTTTCAGTCAATGAAACAATGAGTTGAAATACTTTATGTAGTTGGGAGAATGTTCTTTATACTTGTTTTGTACTAATGTGCATGGGTTGAAGTATATAATTAAGATTGAATGTCAATGTCATATCAAACAACCAATTCTGAACTATCATAATTTTTAAAACTAGACCTTGACCTACTAACTGTTTCAGACTGTGATATTCCTATTCAAATATCCTTTTTAAAATTAAAATAAACAAAAAATTATTTTCCTGGCCTATGTTTGTTTTGATATGCTAAAAGTTATTTTCTTGTCCAATGTTTGTTTTGTTTTTATAGTGGCTACAGTTGATTGGTTTCTTGTTACTTTCTTATATACAAGGCCGGCGCTACCTATAAGGCAAACTAGGCGGTCGCCTAGGGCGCCATCCCTAGAGGGGGAGCGTAAAAGCTTTAATCGCTATTATCAGAAAGTACCTAATAATTAATAACTGATTATTTTTTTATAAACTATGGATGGTAGCAATCTATTTCGGCGCCCAGGACGAACTATCGATTTTGCACCGCCACCTCAATAGTAGGTCTATATATGCCTATATTTATTAGCGATGGCGTAAATGCAACCCCACCTCACTAAATTGGAAAGGTTGGGGAGCTTTGTTTTTAATTTTGTTTTGATGTCTCATAATTGATGTAAAACCGATAAAATAAGTTTGTAACATTAGATGATTTCAATTCAGTAAGGAACACATTACTAAGAAAGGTAGGCATTCTCTAGCTGAAAAATCTTTAGTTTTTTTTAGGAATCTAGATCTATATTACCATGCTTAAAGTATTAATATATAATATTATTTAGGCTGGAATTTATAACCAACTGTAAACATTGTTTTTTCAAATTAAAATTTTTTCATATAGGCGTCCGCAAAAATTTTGTCGAATAATCTCTTCAATGGTAGTAAATATATAATGATTAAAGTATGTCATCAAAATTGACTAGAAGTATGTTATAATAAAGCTACCGTGTTGAGACTTTCAAACAAAACCTGCAGTTAAGTATTCAATTATTAAAATATATTGTTTTGACACGGTAACGTAGCTAATATAAAAGATTTGTTTTAATTATTACGTAATGAAATTTAAAGCGTTTTATCGTGGTTTTTTTTCACGCATGTCTTAGTTACACTTGGTTAATTTAGCTATTCTTGTGAAAGTTATTTCCCTTTGATAAAATTTTGATATTTGGATTTCCAAATGGGAGATAATTCGTTGCTTAGCTTTACATTCCTTTCAAATTCCTGCACATTAGTTTGACCGCTTACTTATAAATACAACTTTCAGTTATTATTTGCTATTGTAAAAATTATATAGAGCAGAAGTTCAAAACAAAAAAGTTTGGTAGGTTTTTTAGCCTTATCAAGTTGAAAAACAAATACATTAGTATTGCGATACATAATGTTAGTAGACATACATTATGAAAACCAATGCGTCAAATCATGCAACAAATGCGTCTAAAATCGTCTAAGTCGCAAATTAATCATCCAATTAACCCAGTATCTTTTTCATATTTTTCACCCTCTTCTAAAGGATTCAAATGTAACAATTGTAGGCTGGAATCTATAACTATAATTTATAACCTTTTATTTATCAAAAAAAAAATTCGTTACATAATCACACAATATAGACATTTTTCAGTCAAGCTTAAAACAGGTAAGTTCCGTTCTGGAACTCACCTTGTGAGGTCTGCGGAGAGCCCAACACCACACGAACTGTGGGGTGTTTTTTTCAGTGTTTTTTTTTTTTTTCCAGACTTTTTTCTCCCGGGAGTGGGGGAGAGGGGGGGGGGGGTTGTAATCACTTGAAATTTTTCTCGTGGACTTGGCATCAATTTCAATAGAATGTGATTACGCTTGCAAACTGGCATTGAAGAAAGTAGTACAAACTTTTGCGACGAAGGAGGCAAGTAAAATTTGATTTTGATGTCTACTTATAACATGTATGCAAATGATAATAATTAATATTTCACTTTTAATGAATTGTTTTCTTATACATATGTTTTAGTAATTAATTTCTGTGAAAGGGGGCGTTTTAATAAGTTTTGTCTAGGGCGCTCAATAACCTGGCGCCGGCACTGCGCGTATACGGAGTATAGAGAAAGTATTGTAATTGTGAGAAAAAAAAAATCGAGATTTTTGCAAAACGCGACGTTTTACACTTCCCTGGGTCGGAAAAACATAGTTTTGCAATCTTGTCCGTATGTCTGTGTGTGTATGTGTCTGTGAACACGATAACTGCAGTACCGTTACAGCTATGTTGAAGACATTTCATATATAAGTATTATATCGAATTTGTAGATCTGTTTCAACTTTTCAGCGATATCCGATAACCGGAAATGGAACTTTTTCTATTTTCAATTTTTATCAAATTTTGAGTAATTTCCATTGACCAGAAGTAGTAATTTACGCTATTTCCGATTTCTCAAAAAACGCATGTGAATTTATAAAGTACTAATAATACTCCGCACTATTATAGACATTTTGTTTGGCTTTCACTTGGTGTGCAATTCTTTTTTTCTACGAGATTTATTCTATTTTTAAAAGTTTAAGTAATTAAAAATGGATTAGAAATATTGTTTATATCCCGAGTTGCCTTCCCCCGTAGTGTTATATAAGAATAAGTCTAGGGGAGATAACTCCCGGTTTATTTTTAATTTTGGGTACGAATGTGTTTTTGTACTCAGCAATGGTTACTGTTATAGGATGTCTTGTTTTCACTTGGCTATTTTTACGGTAGACAACATCCTGTTTCTCTACGTGCTATGTGCACGAGATAACATTGGAGGGTTAACATTTTAAATGTAAAATTGAGCTTAATAAAAAAAATCGCCTAAATGTAAAAAAGAAAATACACACTTTCATTTTACACACTATCCTCCGTTCATCAACACTAAATATGTGTATTTATTAAGGGGGCATCCATAAATGAGGTCACATTTAGCAAGGGGGGGGGGGGTCCTAACTTTGTGGAGAGTTCGGATTGTGTTATTTTGCGTTAAAGAAAATTGTTTTGATAAATTGTTATAGAAATTGATTAAAATACTCTATGTGACGGAGCCCAATCAGTATTTTAGAAAGAAATCGATGGTAAATAAACCGGGAGTGATCTCCCCTAAACTTTCTCGAATATTCTTATATAAAATAACAGTGGATGGGAACTCGGGCTATAGACATGATTTTTAATCCATTTTAAATACTTAAAGTTTTAAAAATAGAATAAAACCTCGTAGACAAATTGATTGCACGCCAAGTGAACGCCAAATAAAAAATGCGCATAATAGTGCGCAATATTATTAGTACTTTTAAAATTTACATTAGTTTTTGAGAAATCGGAAGTAGCGTAAATTACTACTTCCAGTAAAGGGAAATTACTCAAAATTTCACAGAAGGTAGAGAATTAGATTTTTTACTTACATGTGAAATTTCATTTATCTATTTGAAATAGTACTCAAGTTATAGGCCTTTGAAAAATTCAAAGTAGGAAAAGTACCACTTCCGGTTATCGGAAATCGCTCAAAAGTTGATACGGATCTACGATTTTGATAAAATACTTATATATGAAATTTCATCAACCAAGCTGTAACGGTACTCAAGTTATCGTGTTTACACACGGACAGACAGACAGACAGACAGACAGACAGACAGACAGACAGACACACAGACATACGGACAAAATTACAAAATTATGTTTTTCCGTATCAGTGAGGTGTAAAACGTCGAGATTTGTAAAAATCTCGATTTTTGTTTTTTGCACGATTACAAGACTTTCTCTATACTTCGTATATACGAGAAAGTAAAAAATGCGAAGCTGCAATTTTGAGATGGGTTGTAGGCTGAGGTCATTTTAGAGTGGGGGATTTGGTTGGCTTTTGGTGATAATGTCTGTGAGGGAGGTGGGAGGTTCTGTGAGGGAGGTGGGAGGTTCTGTGAGGGAGGTGGGAGGTTCTGTGAGGGAGGTGGGAGGTAAAAGTCGTCAAAAAAGAGTGAAGTAAAAAGGATTGCGTAGACTAAACACAGATCCTGGACCAGAGTATCGGGCCTTACCAAGTCAAGATCCAGCCCTGTCTATACCATAGACATGACTGCATTTGAATCACAACACGTCCATCGGAACGAGTTGTTTAAACACCCAAACACACCTGCACCGGACAAATTTACGCCTGTAGGTGTTGTAGAATTTTTTACTCATCGTCACGTAGATGACGAAATTGATGGAAGCGTTGACGACGTACAACAGATCGTTGACGATCTCTAACAAAATGGCGATATTCTTCAACGTGCCATCAGGGTTGATTGAACTCTCGGGGTACACGTAGTACATGATATAAGGAACTGATAGTGGAATCCCGATGACGGCATAAACTGACGTCACAACCAATAGCATTTTGACGACTCTGACGTCACGGTTGCTGCGGGGTAAACTTTGACCTTTTGACATTTTTCTTGTCGTTATGTAGAGTCGGAAAGAAATGGCGAGAGAGCTGATGATGATGAGGGACACGGATACCGGACCTCTGATAACGGCTAGCGTGACGTTTAGTATGTTGAAACTTTCAGGGTCTTTGCTGATGAAGTCAGCTAAAACTATAGTAGGTAGCGTCAAGTTCGACGCGGGGTCTTGCATCCATTCGATGCTGTACAGCGCGAAGAACGGCCCCGATAACAAAGCCCAAAATAGAAACAAGGAAACCACAGCGGATAGCGTCCTTCCGGGTGTGATGATTCTCGAGACACGCAAGGGAAAATGTACAGCGATGAATCGTTCAAGGGAAATAAACGTGACGAGACCGGATGAAACTAGACCACAGAATCGATTCGGCATCCAGATAGATGTCGTCACGTAGGAGTTTAACACCAGGGACTGGTAGAGGTCGAATTTAGACAGGATGCAGACGAATCTTTTGGGGATGCTGGTGACGAGAAAAACGAGGTCAACAGACGACATGGCGAGAAGGAGGATGTTGGTGCTGTCGCCGAAGCCGTGGTGGGACAAAACGATGACGTTGATGACGTTTCCGATGGAGCCGAGTACGGCGAGCACATTGACGAGAACACAGGAGAACAGCGTGTCGATGATGGTCAGCGTTGACTTGTCTATGATGGTCAGTTCTGCCTTGTCAATGACGGTCAACGTTGCTTGGTCAATGACGGTCAACGTGTTTAAGGTGGTCAGCACCACCGTGTTGAAAGTCTCCGCTGTGGTGTCGCTTAGAGAACTACTTTCATCCGTCAAGTTCATCATTGTGTAGTTTATACATATGTGGCTAACGACTGGTCTGAGTTCTCTGTAATTGTATAAATAATGTTAATTAACTTATTGGTATCTTAAACACGTGACCGACCGCTGAATCTGGATAAATCGTGAATCTGGTAAAAGGTACACTAAATACATTTTAAGTTTAACTTACTAAAAAAACATTATTTCTTAGCAAAATTATTCAGCATAACAGAATGTGCAAGACTGAAGTGAACCGAAAGAAGGGAATATTTACCCTACAATTTTTTTATGGTCAAACAATAAACATCTCATCCTAAATATTTTCTCGTTCGTTATACAACCTCATTGCTGGATATAACTACAGAAAGAACGGAACACTACGCCATTTAGCCTTACTTATTTAAAAAACCTTAGGCATATCTAGCCGCGTTCAACAAAAAAACCCACTGAGAATCACTAAATTCAACCGGGTTTAGCGTGTATGGCTGTAAACAAGAAAATATAAACAAACAAGCCACAATGACTTTTTAATGGTCTTCGACACAGTGTGGTAAAGAAACACTTAAAAAACTGAGTAGTTATTAACCTGGGTTCGATTGAACCCCGGGGTTCGATGAGTCAGTCTCAAGGCTTGGCGGAGGTCAAGACACATCAGACGATTCACGATCAGATTTTTGTCAGTGCAGACGATACAACTATTACAAGGGTTCGCTTGGATGCGCATTTAAAACTGCTGGGGTTCGGTACCTCCAACTGGACTAACAACTTTAATAAAGTAACGACCATTTAAAAATAGATTGAAATCAGAATTATTTTTTTTTTTGCATTAAAATAAGACTCATAACCATACAATATCCGCAAGAAAAAAAATGTTTAGCTTTTTATATTTACATTTTAAGTTTATAACCTAGTTAATTAAAGCATCTATGACTTCTGATCAACTCTACTTCAAATGTGTAATGCGATGTATTTATTAAAAGCTAATCGATTATAGTCTATTTTTATTAAAGCAATGACTTCACAAATTGTAACATAGCTATAATTAGACAGTATTCATCTTTTCAAATAAAGAAGTTTTTACTAACGTTACCGTGTAATTGACTTGGGTTAAAATTACATGGGTATCAAATCCCGCGACACGGTATTTACCTTAAAAGCAAGGTCTTTGACTTGCGACTACATCTGTAGTTTAAAAATTCTGAAGCTATTATTTAGTTACTTAAACAGCTTATCTTGCTGCCTTGTTGATCAAAGGGTTTGATGTATAATTATGGTAGACTCGGTAAAATTACACATTGGCTCCTATCTCTGTCTTTGACTATTTAGTTCTATATGCCTACGGCCTAGTGAAACATTTTGTAGGTTAAAGTTTGTAGGGGAAAATGAAGTCTTTTACGGTCACCAAACACTTGATAAGAGATCAAACGGTCTACTAACCTACCGTTTATTGAACATTTGTTTAAGTTCAGAGTAAGGAAATACGAGATGTTTTTGTTTTAAATCTTTAACGGGGCCAATAACTTGTATGTGAACAAAAAATCGTCTACAATCGTTAAGATTAGCTAAGGGATATGTTTAGGGAGAGAATCTGTTTTATATATATATATATATATATATATATATATATATATATATATATATATATATATATATATATTGGCCACATATTAAAAGAAGATATGACATTTTTTTTAATATTAAAAAGCTCAACTCTTATTCAAAGGTGAGTATTTATTTTGTTTTTTGGGAGTAGTTTCAAAATAAAATAATTTCATAGCTGAATGGTGAAACAAAGTTTACCTCAGTCTAAGCAGTAATTAAATTCTTTACTAGTTTAAACTATTACCATGTTTTTTAGGAGCATCATACTGAGATGACACCTTTCCAAAAACAAAACTTGACTGGTAGCTATTTTCTTCACCTCTAGTCGTGTCATCCATCTTCCCCTACTTCCTACTCAAAATATCTCCCTCAAATATTATCTATTTCATCTTCCCCTTTGAGGGTGTATTCATTCCTGTGTTTGCATACTTATGTTCTTTTGGCTTTTCCTGTAGTCTGCACTATCCATACCAACACTTTCTCAGAGTGTCCTTTTATTTTAACAAACTGTAAATTGTTGCACAGCATTAAAAAAATTTACTTTAAGAAAATGTGGAGATCGCTTTAGTGTTGTTTTTAAAATCCAAGTAGAGAAGTTTAAAAATCATATTAGAACTGTCACTAAAAATAGAAATATCAGGTACAAAGAATTCACTTTGGCCTACTAATGCATTTTGTAGAAGTTATAGGCCCCATTAAGATAACGAAATATTGTAAAAGAAAATTACATAAGTTAATGCATCGTTTAAAAGGATATTCTATTTCTGTGAAAAATAAAATATTTAAATAATTTAACAGCAGACAGTATAGTTTCAAAGTTTCAGGCAATTTATTACAAAATCGTAAAGGCAACTCAGATTAGAACAATTCAATGAAAAACAAGACATTATACATTAGTATGTTAACATTTCTCATATAACATGGTGTATATGTACATTTTTTTTCCTTTAAAAATGGTGGTATATGGGAACAGGGGAGCAAGTTGCACAGGTGAATAGTGCAACGGTTTTAAGACCAGTGTGTGTGTGTGTGTGTGTGTAGTGTGTGTGTGTGTCATATTGGTGAGGTAAATGTATCAATGTCAGTGACACTGTCAGTGTGTCGGTGAGTCACGTGTGTCAACGTCAGTGAGACAACGTCATTGTGTCACTGAGATATACAGTAATGTCATTAATACTGTGTCAAGACACGATGTTATGCCAATAGAAAGGTAGTAGTTTTAGGATAGTGTGGTTTTAGAAACATAGTTAAAGAATGTGGCTTTGGTATCAAACACGATACATAGTGACAAACAGATATCTTGGCAAGGATACAAGTCATTGTGATAGAATACAAAATGATAAAATTTACCTTTCTGTATTACAGCGTTTAATAGTTTCAAAACATAAATAAATAATTTGGTTTTTAGCTTGAGAATGTGGAGGTAACCGGCTCTGTGGTATGGGAGGGCGTAAGTCCGTCCTGAACGAACCTCTATTCATGTGACCGTTTTGTCCGTAATGAACTTTAAGTACACTGAAACACTGAAATGGTACCCAGCATTCTTTAACAGCAACCTGCACCATGCAATCTTCACCCTGCATATTGCACCCTGCAATGAGCACCCTGTAACCAGCACACTGCATCCCTGCATACAACACCCTTGAAATCAGCACACCTTGGATATGTCCCATCTTAGCCTAACATATTTATGTACTTCTGACACTGGGCGTGTTTTGGAGCTTTGATCTCCGTGATCGAGGTGTGTTGTATTTGCTGAGGTTAAATTTGTGTCCGCTGCTTCGTTTGGGCTGGGGTCGGCCTATGTTGAAGTCGTACAGTCTGATGGTGTGGTCACTAGAGGCACTGGCGATACACAGGTCGTCCACGTGCAGGTTGTTGATTGGTTCGCTGTGGGCTCGGTACGTTTGGACGCTCTCCTCCCTGGGGAGGGGACATGGATTTAGTGTGGGTATTAGATGTTTAGATGAGTCAGATACTTGACTTATAGGTCCAGTGAGAAACTTGGCAAGTCGGTCAAGTGAGATATACTTGACTTATAGGTTAAGTCAGATACTCGGCATATAGGTCAAGTCAGATATACTTGACAAATAGGTTAAGTCAGATACGTGGCATACCACTTTATCGGTTGGTGTGAGACTTGATGTATAGATTCGAGACCAGCCATCAGAGGCGTAGAAGGGGGTGGGGGCGGGGTACATATGTCCCCGGGCGCCGACCCTAGCGGGCGCCAAAATGACTTGGAAAAAAATTAAAAGCTCAATTTAGCTGCAGTTTTGAATTATAAATATAAAAAATATATGGGGGGGGGGGAGGGGCGCCAAATTGAAAGTTTGTCCCCGGGGTGGGGGGGGGGGGGGGGGCGCCAAATTGAAAGTTTGTCCCCGGGCGCCGGGAAGGGTCGCTACGCCTCTGCTAGCCATTTGGTTTGGTAAGAATGTGTTGAGGCGACCCAGGACCTGGTGCTTGAGACAGGTAGCAACAAGACCTGGTGCTTGAGACAGGTGGCTACAACACCTGGTGCGTTAAACAGGTGCTGCGACTTACTGTTGAATGTTCCAGTACTTGATGAGACCGTCTTGTCCGGCAGTGACGAAATAACCTTCACCTTTCTCAGGGTCTGTTATCTTTAGCTTCACACTTTCCACTCTAGAACAGACATTTGACAACAGACATTTGACAATAGACATTTGGAAACAGACATTCAACAAAGGACATTTGAAAACAGACATTCGAAAACAGACAATTGAAAACAGATATTTAGCAACAGACATTTGAAAACAGAAATTTGAAAACAGAGATTTGAAAACAGACATTCAACAACGGACATTTGAAAACTGACATTTGGCAACAAACATTTGGCAACAGACGTTTGAAAACAGACATTTGAAAAGAGAAATTTGGTAACATACATTTGAAAACAGACTTGTGAAAACAGACATTTAAAAACAGACATTTGACAACAGAAATTCTACAACAGTCATTCGACAATAAACATTTGATCATAGACATTTGAGACCATATAGTTAAGAACAAACTTTGATATATCACACATAAATGTAAGATAATTCAGCAACACGAGACGTATTACAGATACCATGACCATGCTCGACCCACCGAATACCCACTCTAGTTGTATGGTTCTATCCCTAATGTTACCTTTTCCTGTGTTCCTCGAATGTTCCCAGCAGGTTCCCGTCCTTGTACAAGCAGACGAAGCGATCATAAGCGCAGACGAAGTACCTGTGGCTGTAGCTGACCGACATGATGGAGTGCTTGAGGTCGACCCACACGCTTTTCATCGACTGCCCAGTCGCTCTGTTCCACAGCCGGACAGACTGAACAGTTAACACATGGTTAATTAAAGAATTGCTTGTGTTGGGGGTAAACAGAGCAATTTATTAGCATAGTCTACAACAGAGGCGTAGCGACCCTTCCCGGCGCCCGGGGACAAACTTTCGAGTTGCACCCCCCTCGAACTTTTGATTTGCACCCCTCCCTCAAACTTTCGATTTGCACCTACCCCCTCGAACTTTTCATTTGCACCCCCCCCCGCCCTCAAACATTCAATTTGTTTTTCCAACCCATTTTGGCGCCATCCCCTAAGGTCGGCGCCCGGGGACATATCGCCCCCCTCGCTACGCCTCTGGTCTACAAAGTAGTTAGATTTAGTGAAATCAATCTGATTCTACACAATCCTTCGTTCATTACGACCGAGCAGACAGTTTGTCTGCCTCATAATACTCCATATGGGATGACGTGGCCTATCAGTAGAGCGCTAGACTGATAACCCGAACGTCTCGAGTTCGAATCCGTTAAAAGTCAGTACACCTCGGTTAGGAAAATGTAATGGCGGCTGGGCATAGTGCTGGCCACACTGTCCCTTCATATGCCGATGTCACAGAAACAGGTGAACTCTACTTCACTTGCCCCATGAACCGTCCGGTTTCGAAAATAGAATTTTAACATACACCAAGCTAGTCCTTAATTCTCAGATCAAGTTTGTTTACGCACAGGTTAAACTGTTGAAAACTAGTCATGGGGTCGTGGGTCATAGCAGTTTCAGCGAAATTCATTCCCACCCCCCCCCCCCCCCCCACCTTTTTGAAGATTCTATGATGGTAATTATTTTACTCTAATAAAATGCTTTTTTGTATCGCAATTAAGTAAAAGTTTATGGTTCAACTATTTGCGCTATTTTGAAAACACTACGGCCCTTTAATTAAACACCATATCCCGGTGTTTAGTTTAATGATCATCCTCTAAAATTTACCCCATCCCCAGATGACGTGATGACGATTTGACTGTCCTCTGAGATATCCACACCAAATACGACACCGCTGTGGCCTTTAAAGGTCTGAAGCAACAAACTCCTCCCAATGTTCCATAGCTTGGCCTGTACAGGGGGAAACGGAGTTATTTAAACGAACGGATGAAAACAAATAGAATAAAACTAAAGGACATTTTAAAATTATTTTTAAATGCGTTGAAAGATTTTATTTTGTCAGTCGGCTGTTGAAAATTGTGTTTGCGTTTAGAAATAAAATAATGTCCCGAATGAAACGTACCTATCATGTTTTTTTTTAAAAAATCACCTTAACTTCTCTCCCCCCCCCACCCCCGAAAACAGAAAAAAAAACATGTAATGGCGTTGGTCATGTGATGTAGTTCCAGACTAACCGTCTTGTCTTGAGACCCGGATGCTAGCAGGTTGCCTCGTACTTTCAGGCACCAAATCTGGTTGTCATGGGCGAGAATTGTACGAGTAGCTTCCCCTGTTCTCAGGTTCCAGATCTAAACATATAAATCTATCTTTATATACATACGTATATGTTTAGATATAGGCATTATATATATATATATATATATATATATATATATATATATATATATATATATATATATATATATATATATCTAATATATAAAGCTCAATTCTGTATGTAAAAATAAGATTGTTTGTCGTTGACATACTTCCATGGATTTAAGTGTTAGACTATTATCGTGCTCATAGTCTAAATTTATGAGTTAAAAAATTACTATTGAAAGTGTTGGGAAATAATTTTCATTTTTCAAACTGATAGTAATAATTGTCGGCATGTTCATTAAACACAATTTTAAAAAAATAACAAAAATTCTAATTATGTCTGAAAATTATTTATATTTAGTCCTTTAGCACTTACTTCCCTTTGATAAATTAGGAAAACACAATTACTTCCCTTTATAAAACCATTGCATTAGTGGAAAAGAATTTACTTTTTATTACTTTGTTTTGGTGTTGGGAAAAAAAAATAATTACATAATTAGCGGGGATTGATCAAGTGCAAATGTTGTAGGTATTTTACAGATAAGCTTGGAGTATTATAATTGTTCATTAAATTGAAACAGGCGCGTTCGTTTAAGTGAGTGCAAAGACTATGAATAAGTTGGGGTACAAAAGTCGTTCATTAAGCTAAAACAGGTGATTCCGCCCCGGGCGTTTATGTTCGCGTTAGTGTTTTCTTTGTGTTTAGGTGGGTTTGCGTTAGTGGTTGCGTTTTGATTTGGTTCGTTTTTGTTCTTTCTTTTTTCGTTTTTGTTTGTGTTTTTATCTTTGGGTTTGTATTTGTGTTTTTGGTTGGTTTTGCGTTTGGATTTGGTTTGTTTTCGTTTGCTTTTTCGTTGTTTTTTTGTGTTGGTATTGGTGTTTGTGGTTGTGGTTGGGTTTGTTGTTAGGTTTTTGTTTTCGTTTGCTTTTTTGTTTGTTTTTTCTTTGTGTTTGTATTGGTGTTTGTGGTTGTGGTTGGGTTTGTTGTTAAGTTTTTGTTTTCGTTTGTATTTGTAATTGTGTTAGCGTTATGTTTGCGTTTTGTTGTTTTGGTTTTGGTTGGTTGTGGTTTGGGTGGGCAATGCCGGGTTTATTATGATTACTAAACACACAGGTAATGGTCTTTAACAGAAAGGTTTTTCACAGAAGCCAGAGCAGGGCCTGGCCGGGACGGCTAGTATATATATATATATATATATATATATATATATATATATATATATATATATATATATATATATATATATATATATATATATATATATATATAATGTGTGTCTGTGTTTGTGTATGGGGGTATGTATTACTAAGAATGTTGGTATTCGACATTTCTGTTGGAAATAAGCTAAATATAAAGCACTTGGTAGTGACGGCGTGGTCTAGTGGTAGAGCGCTCGTCTGCTATCCCGAAGATCTCGACTTCAAATCCTGGTTCAAGTCAGTAAAACGTCCCTGAATCCACCGAGCTCTGATGGGCACCTAACTCACGGTAGGGACAAAAAGGCGGCTGGGCATAGTGCTGACCACACTATCCCTTCACTATAACTCTACTTCATCTGCATTCTGCCTCATGTGTCTTGGGCACGAATGTTAAGCATAAGTGCCAATGAACCACACGCCCTGCTGGACCTACTTTGATGGTGTTGTCAAACGAGCCGCTGACGACGAGGATCTTGGTGTAGAACTGGACGCAGAAGACCGTCTTGGTGTGCCCAGTCAACGTCTGCTGGAGCTGACCAGTCCGGATGTCCCACACCCTCAGGGTCTTGTCTGCTGAGCCGCTGACCACGTGATCTAGGTCGCACGCAACACACTGGACGCTGAGCAGTAGTGACAAAAACAACACGTTTATATTTGTGTTGGTGTGTGAAAAAAAAAACTTAACTAATCCAATTATGTATTGCTTAAAGTCGCAGATTGAAGATAAAGAATAAAAATAGAGCTTAAAGTTTGAAAAAAAATCATTACAATATAGATTCGAGGTAATACGTTTATAAATAATCTGAAGCAGGTAAAGCATAGGTCTAATAGTTGCAACAATTATGTTCGTTTTATCTCAGTTATTCGTAGGTGCATATACAAATTGTTAGCCTAGCATTAGCAATATCTTACTCCTCTTTAGTCAAAACAAATTGTATCGTGAGTATTTGGTCGGATGGTAGAGCTCACGACTGCTAACCCGCAAGTCTCGAGCTCGGATTCAGGGTTCGAGTCTGCAGTATGTCTCTGAGTCCACCCAGCTCTGATGGGTACCCAGACCACGTTAGAAAAACAAACGCGGCTGGGCATGGAACTGATCAAAATATCCCTTTGTATACCGAGGTAATTAAAACATGTGAACTCTACTTCATCTGCCTTATGTGTCTTGGACACAAACTGGAAAAGACGATGATAATTTACTTGATAATGAAACTATTGGTCATTTTTTAAACAAAAGACATCCTTACATGGTGCTTTGAACGTAGCAAGTAGCACTCTATACCAGTGGCGTAGCGAGGTCGGGTGTCACCCGGTGCGGCACTTAATGGTGTCACCCCCCAGAGGCATACAGACCCTTCCCAGGGACAAACTTTCAAATTTTCGATTTGCACCCCCTCCCCTCAAACTTTCGATTTGCACCCCCCCCCCTCAAGTTTTCGATTTGCACCTTCCCCTCAAACTTTCGATTTGCACCCCCCCTCGAGTTTTTCTCTATATATTTTGCTATTTTTTGCCTTGGTGTCACCCCCCTAAATGGTGTCACCCGGTCCGCACCCTCCGCCCCCCCCCCCCCTCGCTACGTCCCTGCTCTATACAAACAGCGGTAACATGAACAAAAGTTCCGGTAAGATAAACACACGTGTAGGTAACATGAACAAAAGTTCCGGTAAGATAAACACACGTGTAGGTAACATGAACAAAAGTTCCGGTAAGATAAACACACGTGTAGGTAACATGAACAAAAGTCCCGGTAAGATAAACACACGTGTAGGTAACATGAACAAAAGTTCCGGTAAGATAAACACACGTGTAGGTAACATGAACAAAAGTCCCGGTAAGATAAAGTCTAGGTAACATGAACAAAAGTCCCGGTAACATAAAGTCTAGGTAACATGAACACAAGACCATGAACGAAACCACCTCGTACCTCTGTGTGTGACCCAGAAATTCTGACGTCTTACAGCGACCGTTGTCCCAGTTACGTCTGAGAAAATAGTTATCCCTGTAGACGTCCTTCCAAGATGGTTTCGAACCCACGGGGATCTCGATTTTTGTGTTTTGACAGATAGACTTCCACAAATCGTTGTTGCTGGCTAGATGGTTCCACCTCTTGCAGACCTGAACATCATGGAAGTCATGTTTTTTAAAGTCACGTTTTAAAAAATCATGTTTTAAAAAGTCATTTTTTTAGAAGCCCTGCCTATGACAGCTGGAATTTTAGTCATGATTTTAATCGTGTTTTAAAGTCGTTTAAAAAGTCATGTTTTAAAGTCGTTTAAAAAGTCATGTTTTAAAGTCATTTTTTAAAAGTCATGTTTAAAAAAGTCATGTTTTAAAAAGTCCTGTTTTAAAATGTCTTGTTTTAAAAAGTCATGTTTTAAAAAGTCATGTTTTAAAAGTCATGTTTTAAAAAGTCATGTTTTAAAAAAAAGTAATGTTTTGAAAAGTCATGTTTTTAAAGTCATGTTTTAAAATGTAATGTTTTTTAGAAGTCCTGCCTATGACATCTGGAGCTTGAGTTTGACACGTCTTGTGGTACCACTGACAGAACTGGGACTCCTGAATGGAGTCTTGTCGTTTTGGCAGGTGCCAGTACCTTGTAGGGTCAGACAGGGAACCACAAGACAACACCCAGACCTGGCCGATACAAGCAAGGTGGACCTAACATGGCTGATGTTTAGCTTACCATAGCTGCAGCTAGCAGGTCACGTGGGCTGAGGTGAGACAGCACGCGCAGGGCTGTTGTCTCTGGCAGGAGACTGACGATGTCTTTGTTCAGCTTGACCTGTCAGGTGGGAGAGGGAATCTTGTCAGGTGGGAGAGAGTATCTTGTCAGGTGGGAGAGGCAATCTTGTCAGGTGGGAGAGGCAATCTTGTCAGGTGGGAGAGGGTATCTTGTCAGGTGGGAGAGGCAATCTTGTCAGGTGGGAGAGGGAATCTTGTCAGGTGGGAGAGGCAATCTTGTCAGGTGGGAGAGGGTATCTTGTCAGGTGGGAGAGGCAATCTTGTCAGGTGGGAGAGGGAATCTTGTCAGGTGGGAGAGGCAATCTTGTCAGGTGGGAGAGGGTATCTTGTCAGGTGGGAGAGGCAATCTTGTCAGATGGGAGAGGGAATCTTGTCAGGTGGGAGAGGCAATCTTGTCAGGTGGGAGAGGCAATCTTGTCAGGTGGGAGAGGGAAGGGAATCTTGTCAGGTGGGAGAGAGTATCTTGTCAGGTGGGAGAGGGAAGGGAATCTTGTCAGGTGGGAGAGGCAATCTTGTCAGGTGGGAGAGGGAAGGGAATCTTGTCAGGTGGGAGAGAGTATCTTGTCAGGTGGGAGAGGCAATCTTGTCAGATGGGAGAGGGAATCTTGTCAGGTGGGAGAGTGAAGGGAATCTTGTCAGGTGGGAGAGGGAATCTTGTCAGGTGGGAGAGGGAATCTTGTCAGGTGGGAGAGGGAATCTTGTCAGGTGGGAGAGGGAATCTTGTCAGGTGGGAGAGGCAATCTTGTCAGGTGGGAGAGGCAATCTTGTCAGGTGGGAGAGGCAATCTTGTCAGGTGGGAGAGGGTATCTTGTCAGGTGGGAGAGGGAATCTTGTCAGGTGGGAGAGGCAATCTTGTTAGGTGGGAGAGGGTATCTTGTCAGGTGGGAGAGGCAATCTTGTCAGATGGGAGAGGGAATCTTGTCAGGTGGGAGAGGCAATCTTGTCAGGTGGGAGAGGGAATCTTGTCAGGTGGGAGAGAGTATCTTGTCAGGTGGGAGAGGCAATCTTGTCAGATGGGAGAGGGAATCTTGTCAGGTGGGAGAGGGAAAGGAATCTTGTCAGGTGGGAGAGGCAATCTTGTCAGGTGGGAGAGGGAATCTTGTCAGGTGGGAGAGAGTATCTTGTCAGGTGGGAGAGGCAATCTTGTCAGATGGGAGAGGGAATCTTGTCAGGTGGGAGAGGGAAGGGAATCTTGTCAGGTGGGAGAGGGAATCTTGTCAGGTGGGAGAGGGAATCTTGTCAGGTGGGAGAGGGAATCTTGTCAGGTGGGAGAGGGAATCTTGTCAGGTGGGAGAGGCAATCTTGTCAGGTGGGAGAGGCAATCTTGTCAGGTGGGAGAGGCAATCTTGTCAGATGGGAGAGAGCACCTTTTTAATAGTAAAGTGAGGGGGGGGGGGGGTCGAATTGATGAGTTTTTGCATAGGTCTGAAAGTTGAGACTGAAGTGTGAGTCTGTGTGTGAGAGAGAAATATAGTATTCGTGTGTGTAGTGTTTCTTTCAGACCTTTTTCTCTGCGGTGGGGGGTGACTTAAAAATTTCGGGGGGGGGGGGGGGAACTGATAAAAGTATAAAGCACCCCACCACCCCCCCCCCCCCACACACACACACACTGAAGAGATGCCTCTAAAAGAGACACTGGAGTGTGTTAAGTAGTGGGGTGGGGCTAACTGTTACTAAAACTATTGAACTAAAGATTCCTGAACGATTCCGTAAATGTCAATATTTGCAGGTAACCGTAGAGTCCTGGTGTTAGCCAGATGGTCAAGTTAGCGAGACCTACCGCCAGGAACCTGGAGATGAAATACATCTGTCGTGGGTCCAGGCTCAAGACCAGCTTGTGGAGGAATTCAGTTCTCTGTCCGTCTGGGGAGAGATGTCAAGGTGAGCAGTTGTTTAGTTCGTCAAGCTTTATAGATCTGATGCATTGTTTAAACACAGGATACTATGTTATCGTATATCACATGAGGCGTTCTTCTACTTGTATATCACACTATCCACACACACACATTTGGCGAGATGTATAAACTCAACAATCGAATTGCTATATATTCCCACAGTTGTATGTTTCGCTATTTACACAATAGTTGTACTGCTCAATATTCATAGTTACTATTAGCTATTCACACACCAGTTTATTTTAACAATCTACACAAACAGTTTGATGATAACTATTTTCAGAACAATTTACTGCTGACTATTCACACACCAGTTTATTGCTGACTATTCACACGATACTTTGATGATGACTATCACACTACAGTTTGATGATGACAATTGACACAACAGTTAACTGTTAACTATTCATGCAACAGTTGTACGGCTCGTTATTCTTACAATTTCTTTGTAGTCAACAGCCCACAGTTTCTCGTTAAACTGCTTCAATATTCTAGCATTATATGCAATTAGCGTCAGACGTGTACACACATTTTAATTAAGGTGACCCAATAATTAACAAGCAACAATTTCTCACCACTCCAGTTGAGTGAGTACCACATCAATATCTGCTCGGCCTGCTCCGGTAAACCAACGAATGTCAGGTTATCTGTGCTTTGGGAAAGTTCCGATGTTTTCTGTAGACGAACAGCAAAGAAATAAAACAATAAAAACACACCATTTGTTTAATAGTATCACATGTGCGAATGTTTTTATTTTACACAAGTGCATCCCAATCTTTATATCTGCATGCTTCCCAAAATTTTTGTTGATATATTATAGGGGAGAAAAGTTGTACCCATCACCGTTAAAAAAATCCATAATTTTAACGAAATTAATGGGTATTTTTCAGTTTAGTCATTTTAAAAAATGAATACTTTGTCACCCCTTTTACCCCCTCCCCATAATAATCTTCGTCTATCATTAAAAAAGTCCAAATGGTGATTGTTTTAAAACTAGGAACAAATACGAAACAAACTTTTGCTGGGCTGTTGATTGATTTAAAACTAGAATCTCCGTGCCAAGAGCTCCTTAATCCCTGTGGAAAAAAATGCAGACCTATGTGAATAAAACAATTACAGTAAATGGTATACACAAGTAGTTTGAATAAATAACAAAAACTAATTAACTTTAATTAAAAGAAAAATAAGTAACAAAGTTGTATGCGTTAATTAAATAACACTCAGACGTAAGTAGGCTGATAATAAAAAAAAAATTAAATAGCCGCTCACCCCAACAGATCGGTAAAACGATGACGTAGATGATTCACTAAACTGCTGATGAGAATTACTGGCTAATGAATGCTTGCTCCTGTTTAGGTTGGCTCTTGTGACTTGTGACTCTTCTATTTGTATGTGTCGACGAATGGGTAGACGATGAAACCTAAACAAAACGACATATGTCTTGATTTACTAAGAAACTACTTTGTATCAATTTATTGTTAAATCTTGATCTCAAATGCCAATTACGAAACGCCCTCTGTTAACCTTATTTTAACCATGAATTCACCTCAACAACAACACCTCAGATCGTAATTGACCAAACGAACATGTACGTTCATCATTGCGTTAAACGTATTCACATTTTTGATACGCCTATATTAATGTATGCTTATTATTTCTGTTATACGAGATTTAGAAATCACAGTAAACGTATGAGCAGTGTTAAAATAATATGAAACTGATTGTTACAGAGCACGAAAGGCTTTGTGACCCAGAAAAGAAGAGCCATTCTCGTCATCTTTGGTAGGAAACTGACATAGAAGAACTGAATTTTACCCAGATAGGGTCTGTGTAACGGTATGGTCGAAGGAGAGAGCGTATGACTGCCACCCCGAAATTCCAATCCAGAATGTTCGTGTATCCACCCAGCTCTAATGGGAAAGTAAAGGCGGCTGGACATAGTGTTGACCACACCATCCCTTCATATGCCGAGGTCACAGAAACAATGGACCCGACTTCACTTGCCCCATGTGCCGTCAGGTTTGAAAGGGAACTTCAAAGGGTCCGTGTTAATTCTTAAACAGTGTTTCTTTCAGGTATATCTTCGGATGGCGGGCACTGCATTCCACCACCCACCCCCTTCCCCAAGATGCTCGACTACCGCCCCACCCCACCCCCGAACAAAATAGAATCTATATTGAAAATATACTTTTAGTAGTGTCCGCACCCGGGAAATTTAGTCCACTCCCCCCCCCCCCCCCGAAATTTTCCTGTACCCCATCCTAAATTCACATAAACATAACCTGTAAGAGATGTGAACCTGACCTGTCCTGTGTATGGTCGACCACGTCCACGTCCCTACTGGTCTGTCTGATGACGTCATGGTGTCTGTGTTGAACATCTTTTGGTTCCTGGTTGTCGTTCTGTGGTCTAGTCAGTAGGCCGTTACTTGAACTGTTGATGGTGATGTTTGAGTACTTTCTTGTATGATGGTGATGTTTGCGTACTTTCTTGTATGGATGGTGATGTTTGGTTACTTTGTTGTATGGAGGGTGATGTTTGGGTACTTTGTTGTATGGAGGGTGATGTTTGGGTACTTTGTTGTATGGATGGTGATGTTTGAGTACTCTCTTGTATGATACACAATTACTTTGGTACTTCAGCAATGGAGACTTACTTTGGTAGTGCAGTAATCTAGACTTACTTTGGTAGTGCAGAAATCTAGACTTACTTGGGTAGTGCAATAACATAGACTTACTTTGGTTGTGTATGAAAGGACGTGTGCAGAAGGGGCGGGAACTTGACAGGCTCCGCCTCCTCATCTTTCTGCATGTAGGCACTTTGTTCACGATAGAAGCCATCAGCTAGCTTGAGGCCCCTCAGACGATCCTATGGAGGGAGAACATTAACATTAGAAAGTTACACAAATACTGATGGCAGTGATGGTCTATTGCAGTGATTTAGGCTTAGTCAGGACTCGCTAATCTAAGTAAGTATAATAAAATATTCCATACGAGCTAAGTGAGGGCTGTGTTTCTTTATAGGCCTACTTGTGATTTTAGATACACAAAATTAAAAGTATTAATAGCGAGTACAAAGCTCTATCCAAGTTACCAAACATAATTTAATTATTTCAGCTGTCGTAAATCAAGGGTTTTGTTTTTTATTTAGAAAGACAAGACTTCTCCTTATCAAGGATCGGCTAATTCCATTTCACTACCCAAAAATAAAAATACCAAGGGACGGAAATCTAGTTTACTTATTTCCAAGCTAAATTCCACTGTTATCTCCCTTCCGTCATGTCCCTTTGACGGATATCATTTATATTCACTTCAACACACTGTGCTAATGCACTGACCTTTAGTTCCCGTGTGACGTACGTGCTGACGGGAGAGAACTCAATCTCCGGGAAACGTGACCGTACGGTGTACATAAAGTCACGGTGTAACGAGGGCTGCAGCGCCGTGTGCACGAACTGGAGGCTGGGGTAGGGGCTGTGACGTAACAGTTTTTCTAGGAAGCGGCACCTCTGTGGAAGCAATGCGTGGATGAAAATATAAAATATAAGCTGAGCACAAGAGGAAAGGTAAAAGACAGCTGAGTTAATGCTTCTCCGAAAAAAAAAATCATCTTAGTGTAAAATATTTTTTTCAATTATAATTCAAGAAATGGGAGATGTATGAAATGTAAAGGGAAGTGATGGGGGGAATTAGAATGGATACACGCGTAACAAGGTTAATTTAAAAATATGAAGTAGATTTTGGGGTCAATGCAATAGATGAAAAAAATCATCCCCTGGGCCGTAGCAGATAAACTGATAGTAATAGAGTAAATGGTTTGGTATCTCAAACTGACCCATAATCCTAACCGAAACCCGCGTCGTTATGTACCCGCGGAGTCAGCTACACCCAGCTTGTCATGGTGCGTCTGAAACAAATTCCTCGAACACTTTTTTACGACTGACTATCAGGACATAGCACAGCTACAGGGAACCGCTGTTCCGTGTCTTTGGTAGTTTCATCACGAGGGTACCTGGCTTAGCTGGTGTGGACCTCTGTTCCAAGTCTTTGATAATTTCATCAGGAGGGTATCTAGCTTAGCAATTGGGACCACTGTTCCATGTCTTTGATAATATTACCAGGAGGGGACCTGGCACAGCTATTGGGAAACACTGTTCAAAACCTTTGATTATTTCTATCGGTGGGGGTGGGGGTTGTGTGGGCATTAGCACATCAACTGGGAACCACGGATCAAAGCCTCTTTTCAACGGGGCATTTCAATGTGGCTGACCGCACTTCCGTGCCATGATGACGTCACGGCCGCGGCGGCTGTTCTAAGAATGATTAGATTATCAAGATATTAAGTCTGGTCACTGATCTACCCCTTGAATGCGCTGATCAATACGCCGATAATCGATCTGATTAAACCTGAGACGCACCCGTATCGAATGTTAAATACCGTAAGCAAGAAAAAAAAAAACACGTCTGGCGTCTCTACGTCAAGCCCCCTCGAACACAATGTTTAAACAGAAGAAAAAATGTGTTTTGTGCAAGCAAGTTTATATTTCCTTGTGGTGAGGAAATCTATGAGTTCAAGTGTGCAACAGCACCTATGGCGTTGTTCGTTATGTGGCATTACGTGTCGTTTGACTAGTACAATACTTGTTATGTGGTATTACGGGTCGTTTGACTAGTATAATACTTGTTATGTGGTAGTACGGGTCGTTTGACTAGTACAATACGTGTTATGTGGTATTACGGGTCGTTTGACTAGTACAATACTTGTTATGTGGTATTACGGGTCGTTTGACTAGTATAATACTTGTTATGTGGTAGTACGGGTCGTTTGACTAGTACAATACGTGTTATGTGGTATTACGGGTCGTTTGACTAGTACAATACTTGTTATGTGGTATTACGGGTCGTTTGACTAGTATAATACTTGTTATGTGGTAGTACGGGTCGTTTGACTAGTACAATACTTGTTATGTGGTAGTACGGGTCGTTTGACTAGTACAATACTTGTTATGTGGCAGTACGGGTCGTTTGACTAGTACAATACTTGTTATGTGGTAGTACGGGTCGTTCGACTAGTACAATACTTGTTATGTGGCAGGTGGCAGTACGGGTCGTTTGACTAGTACAATACTTGTTATGTGGAAGTACGGGTCGTTTGACTAGTACAATACTTGTTATGTGGCAGTACGGGTCGTTCGACTAGTACAATACTTGTTATGTGGCAGTACGGGTCGTTTGACTAGTACAATACTTGTTATGTGTCGTTACGGGTCGTTTGACTAGTACAATACTTGTTATGTGGCATTACGGGTCGTTTAACTAGTACAATACTTGAACCAACACAGCGGCTAGGTTTAGAAATCAGCACGTACAAGATAATGATATCAAATTAAATGCCTTGTGTCTAGACCTAGAATTTTAACACATGGAACTTCTTCTTTTGCCTATAGTCTGCTGTAAACCTAAATGTACAAAATAAAAAAAAACAACTGTCGAGCAAAAATGTGTTATTTTAATAAATTTTAACATCAAAATAATTTAAAAATCGTTTTACAATTTAAAAAGGTATGAATTTATATGTTTATACTTAAATAAAATAAACATAAACAGAACATAAAAGAGGACTGATATTTTATTGCATGTTTAATGTTCTTTTTTTCAAATAAACTAGTGGGTTAATTTTAAGTAAAGGTGCTAGGTGGCAACAAATTTCGTTGACCCTTAGCTTTCAATAACATCACAAATTGATCGATTTATCCGATTTATCTCACAAGAATCACTTTTATACTACAATTATCTGCCCCTGATCAACTTAACTGTCGCCTCTACTATATGTAAACAAAACGTGAACTGCAGCTTACTGGAGCGAGCGAATGATATATCTACCGCCACCAAGTTTTTTTACCACCAGACTGAACATCTTACAACCAGTGGTTTCTTTCAGACTTTTTTCTCCCGGGAGGGGGGGGGGGGGTTGATGGGGGAAGATGCACTTGGAGCTTTCGGGGGTGGGGGCTAAATTTTCTGGGGTGGGGCGAACAATGTTAAAAATATATATTCCGTTGGGGGGGGGGGGTAGACTTGCTTTTTTTTGGTGGTGGATGGGGGTAGAGGGGGAGGGGCAGTTCCTGATCTTTCTCTAAAACTGTCCCCACAACCTTAGCAATGTGGCCTGTTGCATTTCCTTTACACTCGTATATACGAAATGTATCTGGTATAATCTAGGAGTACCAACTCTTTCCTCAACTCCTGGAATAGTTTTGCCTCTAAGACCAAACCTCTAACTTAAAACAGCCGCTGGAGCATATTATTATTTAACTTGAGATATGAAGAATGAGCCAATTGGACTGTTAAGTTACTCTGTATTACTCTTTTTTCCCCAATAATTTTATTCTCAGTATAAAACAAGTATATCTACTTGTGTCTGAGTGCATTAGTCTGCAGTAACATTAAAAAGTTTTACAGCAACAAAATTTACGTTAAAGTACATAAGAGAGTGTACATTTACAAAATACTGTGCATATGGTGAAGCTAATTTGATCTGAACAGCGTGCATAAATTTAAGTGAAGATTTTTTTTTTTTGCCTCAGACATGTACTTAACAGCGTCAGTTTGCCTTGAATGTTCGCTTTAGTATTACAGTTTTCATCATCGGCTTGTGAGGACTGATTCAGATTTACAATAGTAATACTTCTTTCCTACATGTAGCCTACTTTCATTCATGAAGATGGTTTACTCATAGGCTACATATATCTAATACAAAGAGGCTAATTCCGCTTTAAAATGTCAAATGTATCAATCAATCGGTTTACAAATTTTTATCGATGAAAAATACCTTATGTGAATGATTAGCCAAGTAAATTCACTATTATACAAAAATTGCATGTCTGAAAATCTAATGTTTAATACAGTTAAAGGTTTTCTATTTTTATGCAAGCCAAGTGATAATTCTAAATACGAATGTTTTTAGCAGAGAGTGATTTAAATATTAATGTTAAAAAAAATAATACACAATTGTATATTGTATTATTTTGTTAGTAGTTATGTCTCTGTAGTTTTTATATTTTGTTGGCGAAATAGTATTAGGTTGTTTCCCTTGTTTATTATGAAATTGTAAATGCAAATTAACTAACAAACAATATTTATCCCCCACCCCTCCCACACGCACACGGACAAATATATATCTAAAACATGTATATATATATATATATATATATATATATATATATATATATATATATATATATATATATATATATATATATATAATGTAGAAAATATGTACTGCAACCCACCCCGGAAATTTTAAGTGCCCTCTACCTAGAAGAAAAATGACTGAAAAAGCCCTGGTTACAGAGATCACTTAGATAATTCTGGTGTTAGGCTAGTGATTCATTTTATCACCTAGATATCACTTTTTTTTCCAATTACCCCTAACGTAGTGTTTTTGTACAAGACTTTCATAGAGCTCTGTTGGTTCTAACAGTCCATCCATTTTCATCCTATATCTTTACCCTTGTTCCATGGCCCCGAATAATGCAGAGCACGTCCCACAGGATTGACCCTTGTACAGCAAGGCGCGATCCAAACATAGGTCCCTATACACCGCGTATATTGTATTTTTTGTATTGTATCTTCTTTAAAGACTAATCCATGCCTTCCCCAGTGAGACACGCCACCTAGCTAGGAAACCGCTACCGTAAGATACCAAGACAATGGGCGTACAAAACAAGACGTCAGGTTGTGAGAAAATCAATTGACGACCTGTTGCAATAACAGAGCTCAAGTGTCTTTTAATGTGTTTAGTAGCAATTGATTTTAACCCTAATAATTAACCCCCTACCCCGTCTCCCCACCCCAACCGTCTATCTTGTAGGTACAGTGCTAGAGATCATCCAACCGAGACAGAGGGCATTGATCTAATCTTAGAATGTTTAATACCATTTGAGTTTTGGTAATTTGATTTGATTACTAAATAGGTATGTGAGTGATTACTAGTTAGGTGTGGGGTCAAATAACATGACGCATTATCTAAGTAGTCACTGACATAGTCTGCTGTCATGTCGGCTGTCACAGTGACATTGCTGTCCTGTCAGTTATCAGGGCGTCATCGTCCTGTCGTGTCAGTTATCAGGGTGTCATTGTTTTCGTTTTGTCAGTTGTCATTGTGACATTATCTACCGTCATGTCAGCTATTTAATATAATTTGTCTTTCCTGTCTGCCCATACCATCGTTACATTAAATCATTGTATATAGAAATATTAGATAAACGCTTTACAGTTAACTCTAGTACATATTGGGCTTTGAAACGTTCGTACATTTCTTTGCTGTGTGGAATGTTTGGACAATAAAGAATAAGCTATTGTTTTTTCAATAAAATATAGATTTTCAATTCAATCTAATCAGGAAATATCACCAAACGATTGTCAAAAGATATCCATACAATCCCAACGATATCACTATGGTATCCATTCGATATCTCTATGATACTCATACGACATCCACATTTTA